GCATTCTTACCAACATAAATCAAGCCAGGACAGCTTTCGCTCTCTCTCTCTCTCTCTGTTCCACCAAATGGCTCAATGCAATTATAATTCGCCATTCAAAGAACTCTTAATGCCAACCGACAGCTGCCCCTGCTGAATGGTTTTCGCTTTTGTTGTTCTTCAGTTAAATTTTATGGATTCGTGCATGATTGATTGCCAGGGCTGCGCTGCTCAGCTGCCATCAATGGATCGATCAGTATTGGAAGCTATTCGCAGGCTCCACAGTAGGTAAGTAGTAAGTGAATCTCTGTAGGAAATGTTTTGGCACACAAGATCCTCAGCAGAGGAACACAGCTTTTCCTGGTCTAAGATTTATAATTTAAGATTCTGTATTATTCCAGCGACTGCTTTACTCAATTTCCAATTGTAAATTGATTCCCAACATTGAGCTGAGTATTCCAAAACTTTTGTAAGCCTACAGTCGTGTACGTTTTTAGCCGTTTACAAGTTAGTGTCATCCCCTGAATCGATTGCGAACTACTCACCCTGGAACTTGCAGTTAAACTTCACTTTAAAGCCAATATTTCAAGCCGTTTATTTAACAAATTTAGGGCCAAATCAATGTTCCAACACTGGAGAACATTAACAGGAGCAGGCAGGCCTACCAAAGCACAAAAATACGCCCATTACCAGAACAGTTTTATAGACCCTTTGCCGCCTCTCTCTCTCACTCGCTCTCTGGGCAGTGGGGTCTCGAAAAAAAGAGGTTTTGGGGGCGTGTGTTATCAGCTGTTTCCCATTATGACTTTAGCGGAAATATATGTACGAGCACAGGCGAGCATTCGAGGCGGCAACAGACGCTCGCCCCCCTGGCAATACAAACATTCGCACACATTTACCCGCTAACCGATAAAAATAAAGGAAAAGCAAGAAAAAAGGGGAAGCAAAAATTGGAGCTAAATGCGTATACGTAATGTGAGCAAACCGAAACCCCCTCACACCCCACCGCACCACAACCGCTGGGCAGGAAAAACAAAAACAGTGATGGAGATGGAGACGGATACAGAGGAAGAGGAAAAGAACAGAACAGAAAAAAACAAGAGCGACGTTGACGACGACGAAGTTGGCACTTGCCAAACAAACAAAAAGCACCAAAAGAGAAGGAGGAGCATTGGCTGAACAGAACGACGGGCTTCAGAAAATGTGGGCTCTCTTTCTATCCAGGGTATATCCAGCGTATTAAACCATGTGGATTTATGTACAGTAGCGCACAATACACGTTAGTTTATTATTAACTATGATCGAAGGGAACCAACAGTTGTCCAGCTCCCTCTTTCTGTCATCTCTAACCGCCGAAGCGTCATCTCTGGTTGCCTGTTACACAGGATCTCTAGATATTTGATTTTTCAGATACCTATTTCGGAGTTCAGGCGTCTCGATTCCAATGCCAGAAAATAGTTCACGTATTAAGGAGGCAAAAGGCGAAGAAAAGACAGGAAAAAAGTCTTTTGAAGGCGCCACCGTCAGGGAAATCGAAAAGCAACAACAAAAGCCCAAAATGGTACACACTCATACACGCATACTAAGCTTACTAAGCGCTAACACACACACACACACACATGAGTGGGCAAGCTCATGGCAGCTGCCATGGCAAACAGCGGAAAGAGATGGGGCTAGGGGCAGAAGAGATGGCGAAAAACAAATGGTGGAGCAGACGGATGGATGGCGCTTCTCACTTGGTTTGGCTCGATTCGGTTTCAATCTACTGTGGCACCGAAGCTGGAGACGGAGTCGGACTTGTACATAGTCGGGCATATTAGTATGCAGAACTGATAATCATTAGGCAGGAGGAGTCACATACTCAACACTAGGCAGCCATTACGGCGCATACGGATTTTGCATACGGATAGGACACCCGAATGTGCCCAGTCAAAGATATCCCCCAATCATTGCATTGCAAAATCTCGACTAAGCTGCAGAGAACAAAGGACTAACAAAAAATAGAGCAAAAAACAACAAAAAAATCTAGGAAATCCAACTTTTGGTAATTAATGGAAATTGTCGAAGAGAACACTGAAAAGCTTTCAGCTGAACTGGCCTCAAAATCAATGTAATGACAGATCAAAGTGCGAAAATATGTGCGTGAAATACTCATCAGAAAAGTTTATCTGGGATTGGCGGGGGGTTAAAAAACTGACCAGGAAAAGAGTTTGAAATACTCGTAAAGTAAATTCGCAATTAAGTTATAGCGATAGTTATGGCTATCATGACAAAACATTAAACTCAAGATCAAATTTCCTTATGAAATAAATACATAAAACGGCACCTGTAATGACCACCTTTTCCGAACTTTTCCAAGCCAACTTGCCTTAACCCTCCTGGGTTTTTATTACAGCAATTTGCAATTTATCATCCAAATTGATGGGCAAGGATGCAACGTAAACAAGCACCAAATGGGGCACATTTTTAACAAGCGGCAGTAAAATACGATGATGTCTTCTTGCACCTCATGGATATACATATGTATGTACATATGTATTTACATACATACATATATAAAAAGATTGTTTGATGATGTATTAATCTCAGCTTAGAAACCCAGTGCATCCACATGAAAGGTGCTGCTCATTCAGAGAGCAATTTCTGCTGCTGTTGCTCTTCTATTCAGAGGAATATTAACGAATACTATAGCATTGTTAGGGGCTGATGGGAGCTGTCATAAGGAGCTTAATAACTGTAACTAGCAACCCGGGGCGGTATCAGGGGTGGGAGTGGGAGTACGTGCCAATGGCCCTAGTCGCAGTAATAAACACACGCACAGCCCAGTTAACACTGGAAATGTGCCCCAAGTGTCAGACAGGGCAGGGCAGGGCAGAACATGCAATGAACGGGGAGGGGGGGCAGTCCAAGAAAATGGGAAATGGATTTTCAGTGCTCGTTGTTTTTGTGTATATTTATGCCCTTGCTGGGTATTCCACTTACAGCCAGATTAGTATAGAACAAAAAAAAAACCCCCCCGTTTCCATTTTGTCTGTATAGTCCTGATCAATAATTGAATTTTAAAGCTTTCTATGCAGGAACTTAGTACAGTCTCTTCATGGGAACAATTGTTCGTTTAGAAAGAAATTACAAACAAACTTAACAAGCGAAAGCCTTGGATATAGCCGATATATATAGCTTTGAAGCTTGCTCAAGTCCCATAGCTGCATACAAGCTGCAGAACAAGGAGATATAAATATTGGTCATCGAACTCGAGGGTAGGGTATATCAACTTCGGCACACCGAAAAGAGCTTCCTACTGCTTCGGTTTTTTTGTATAATTACTTGGATATACATATGTACATACATATATATGTAGTTTTCTTTGTGTGACTGTTGTTCTTTGTGTGTGTAAGCACACATAACGGTAATTTAATTAACATACATAAACATACACACACACACACAAACAGAGCCAAAATAGGGAATGTGGAGCACGTTAGCTCTGTGCGACGGTATGGCATGCTGATTGAGGGGACAGTTCGCTTGAGAGGCACTTACAAAACGTTCCAACAAAACGACTCCTTGTAATCGATATTCAGTTTGTAATCGAATTGAACATGCGAAATATTTGCGCGTAACATTAATTTTAGAACACTTGTTACTTGAAATTTGTTGTATTCAATTTGCTTTACCGATCCTCTCCGCAGCACAAACTTATTTTTAACATTTGTTTTGGTATCTTAGAATGTGAAGCTTGAAGCTGTCGTACAGCTCTTTAACCTGTTCCGTTCTAATAGGCGCACACAGCTGTTTTTATGCCGCGGGAAAGTGCACGCTAGAACCGTTCGACAGTTGACCAATGACCGCTTGACTCGCTGCCGAGGGCGACACAACCGTTCTGAGGCGCGTTCCGCAAGTGTATGGCTAGAGAGTCGAGGACACGACTAACTGTTCTGGGACCAGTGTTGCCGTGCTACGAAAGTACAATCAGCGCTTGCGCAGAGTGCCCAACCCAAGAGAGAGAGAGAATTGCTGACTGACGGAACATGTGTTATTGTTATTATGCCTTCAGCAGGACAGGCAGCAGGCAGGCAGCGACAACAACAGCAATTCGATTGTGGTGAATGGAGCATACAGCGTACAGTTGTTTTAATAAATAACTGTCGAATAATTGATGTTACAACCAAAGAGCTAACGGTACTCTGATTGGAAATAACTGTACTGCGGCCATACAGACATACTCTGTGGGTAGGGAAAGGATGGCTACGGTTGGCACGAATAACTGAAGTGCAGACACTTACACTGGCACAAGACCGTTTCCGCCGTATCCTTGCCCGTACCCCGTATCAGTGTGCCCCGGCGACTAATGTCAAGGTTTTTGGCTGCTGTTCAAAATCCCCCAGCACGGCACGTGGCCACAAAGGGGCACGGGGCACGGAGCGGCGGTTGGGGTTGGAGCAGAGACGAGGCCAATTCCGCCGCTTTCTGTCTCTCTCTCTCTCTCTCTCTCTGTTCCTGCATCTTTCTTCTTTACGCCCCGCTGGGCCCTTGCATGAATGAGCGCGACAAACCCAGTTCCAAAGCCAATGTCAAGTGCAAGAGGAAGCAAGGATAGAGGCAAAATCACTTTACATGCACCACGATTATCCCACTCCCAACAAAGGCCATCGCAGTGGGCAGCATTGGGGCCAGTGGCGATTTGCGCCTGCTCAAGTGACCCCCCAAACTGAACGGCACACTCACGTAAATGGGCGTGCATCTATATTTTATAAGTCATCGATGCACTCGTCCTTCATCCATTCAACCGCCAGCGTGGGTGTGGGTTGTCCTGTGCTGATGGATACTGACCCCGGGCAAGACCCAATTTAAATGCCGCAAGTGGAATACAATTATACACCAATTAAGCAAGTGATAATGGAAATATTTGCACACATGCTACTATGTAAAGCTCCCATTGCTCGATGATTTGTTCTTTGACAACCGTTGCCAGCCAGACGCTACAAAAACAACATCCATGTCGTGTGCATAACTAGGCATATTGATGGTATTATACCCGTTATACCTGTTAAGCCCGGTATTCAAAAATGTAGGTTTATATTAAATTCTTGTGCAATTCATCCTCCCACCATCGATGTAAATTGTAGATGACTTGGCGTAGAAAGAAGTTTAAGATTTTAAATTCTAATAATTTGAATACTGCGAAAATAAGCGCCAAGTCATAAGATAGATAGATGGTGGGACTTAAGTCTTTAAAAGAAAAAATGTCCCCATAAATAAGGCGTCTTAAGGTAAAAAAGCGTCAGAGATCGATTACGACCAGGTCTTGGGTTCGCTGAATGATCCGAAGCGCTGATAAGCATCCACGCCACGCACAGCAAAATAGTAGCGCTGGTTCTCCTGGCACTGATTCAGAGTGGCTGCCATAGGCAACAGAATGGCTTTGACATCGCCCACGTGGCTCCAGGAGTCGGTGCTGGGCTCATGTGGGGTCTCCCGGTACGAAAATATCTGATACGAAACGCTGTCAGCAAAGATATCACTTTTTGTATCCTCAAGAAACCAGCTAATGACGATTCCTGTGTCCGAACGACTAATACGTACGACAGGCCGAGACGGCGGCAACTTCCAGGCGGGATTGAAGGGCTGTTCAGGCGATGACGGCAGCGGCGCTGGATGCGAGTACCTCAAGCGAGTGTTGGCAGAAGACGAGTTCTCCGACAAAATCTGCATCGTCACATTCGATCCAATGGAATTGCGCTGACCTGTCGAAGATGTCGAATCGAGTCAGAGAGCGATCGAGGGACCAATTCAATTCAGGACTCACCTCCACCATTATTGGTGACTATTTGTCTGGCATTGGCTCTTGGCATTTGCAAGGGCGACAATCTCACAGTATTTCCACTAGCAACTGTACGGCCTCCCGTGGCTTTTGCCTCAGACGTCGTTGCCCCCAGAGAATTCCGCTTTACGGCCATTTTGGATGGTTGCCGTAAGTCTGCGTTGGTGTCTGCAGCGGCAGGCGCCATAGCTGGCTCAGCATCATCTTCACCTGTGAGATCAATTACAACCATCTGCTTCTGCTGCGCATTGGAACTCGCGCCCGAACCAGCTGCCCGCATTGATGTGCTCGCCTTGGAAGAAGTGCTACTGGGAGGCGCCAACATACTGCGCGCAGCATGTGTCTGATCTCCAGCTCTGGGAGTAACAATTGACTTCAAGACCTTGAAAGGAATGCCTACTTGTAGTCCAATCTCTCGTGTAATTTTCATTGGGGCCGTGAAATGTGCATTCTTTGCCTCCATATCGATCTTCAGCTGCTTGTGCACCTCATCCAAGTCGAGAAACTGTTTGGACAGTTCAGTTATTCGGAGACGATAGATGGCAAGAGTCTTCTCGTAACTGTCCAGCTGGGAGCGGATATCCGCAAACTCGCTTTTCACCATCATACTCTCAACGACCTTCTGGAGGACGAGTTCTTCCAGATCATTGCGGTGCATGTGGTCAAAGCTTTTTAGGAACTCCAGACGTAGAGATTTAGCATCTATTTTGAGGCTTAGCTCTGGTTTCAGCTCCAGTTTTAGCTCCTTTTGGTCCTTTACGTTGACTGGATCTTCCTTCTTGGCCAAATCGGAGCCCACCTCTTTGTCCTGTACCTCCAAGTAAATTTGAAGTGTGCCATCATTGGAGCTACGCGAATCGGAGTTATCAGCGATGAGTTTCTTATAGGAATCTAAGGAATCGGTGCTGCGCTTGGCCTTTTCCTTTTCATCCTCGGATACAAAAATAACGTCTTGTTTCATATTTGTACTCTCAGTTGATTTAAGTTTTTCTTCCATGGAATCTGCTGAAACAAAAAATGGGTTAAGTTAGGTTAGGTTATATGTATGTATGTATTTGTTTTATTTATTTAGTGTTGGTGGCCGTCTCCAAATATTCACAGTGGCTATCAGTCGAGTGGGCACACAGCCATTCACATTTTTTGCAGTGCGTTTGTGTGCGTCAAACAGAAAACACACGACGGGAAATGTTACTGTATTGGCGAGCACAGTTAACACGTGTACATAAGCTACCAGAAGCGCAGTAGCAGAACACTTTCGTATGCACATAAGAAAAGATGGCGGTGCAACCAGTACGACTACACAGACAAAATCAAACATATATGTCTCTCGCTCACACTGCCTGAAGTTTGTTGTCAAGCGCCTACCAAAGAAATAATACCAAGATATGTGTTGCATGAAGGATCGAAATGTTGTTCTATGGCGTGGTTTTTGGTGACGCCGCGTAGGCAGAGGGCGCGCGCGGGGCTTTAATTCTCTTTTCACCTATGATTCGTCTTTAACCACAAACCGCTGCCGTCGTCTGTTCAGCTGATTTGGTCGGTCGCAGAATCGTACAACAAATACAACGGCACAGAAGAGAAAATACAGAGTATTTGACGAGATGCAAAAGTCGATCCTCTCTACTCTTGGTTCCTGGTGCAATAATTTGGTAATTGTGTAGTCTTTGCTCGTACTTAGTTGATTCGGTACTTGAGGTGATCACGAAATAGATGCGTTTCTCTTTCGCAAAGGTGCACAAATGCACGGCGTACATGTGCAAAAAAAAGTCGACAAGCTTGTGTGAACGGGGTAAAAAGGTGTCCTACCAACACAGTGGGACAAGTCAGATTGTGTTCAGGAATTATATTCATATTCCAATTGATGAGCTTGCGGTATTTTTATCTTCAGTTTGTGTCGGTAAACCAACCCTAACCCAAATGTATCATTTCATACTATACCGGTACTTAGATTAGTTCAAAACGACCATAAAGTGAATATTCCACTCTATTCACACCATATGCTTACCTTACAATAAGATTTATCACTTTTAGCGAATTGGCGGCTTGACACTAGATTAAATATGGCAGCCGACGAAAATGAGACGCGATGTCCAGTGTTGCACTTTCGCAAATAGTGTGACCATACATAAACCACGGTTACACTGCAATTAGGTGCCAATTACGTGTCCTCGGATGGTGATTATTTAATGGAAATAAGAGATGTATGCGTCCAGTTGGCTTTTCAGTTGTGCCGGCAGCAGCGCCTGCGGCAAAAATGATCGATTGAAACAATTTTGCTGGCTGTTTGGCTGTTTGTGGAGGAAAACATAATGTTCCTCAGTTGTTCGACTGAAAGCCAGTAGACGTGTCTAAAGACGACTAGAAACACTTATTTTGCATTTTGTCTCGCACGCTATCTCACCCTTCTCAGCAAAGTCTAATGTCATAAAACAATAAGCGATATATCATATAGATAGATAAAATACCAATTGCGAAGTCCTGTTATTGGGAATATAGGGCGCGTTGACCAGGACAACTTGATCAGCGATCAGTGATGGATTTCATCCACTCTGTTTTGAGTTCTGGTGATGCATACATTACTATCGCAACGCCTTCCATACAATCGGCGCAGAACCTATCGATATTTGCTTCGAAGATTCGCAACCAAAAAACAGTCACGTAATATTCAAATATTTCTTCATAAAATCAAAGTATTTAGCTAATTTGATGATTTTATCTCAATTTGGCTTTGTTAATTTATTTTTCTTCACTTTGTGCATATTCTAAGCGATATGTCAGCTATCGATATCAGCCAAAAGCTATCCATTATACACGAGAGATCAAGAATACTTTTAGGATCCGTTTCACAAAATCTGATGCATGCATTTTTGCATCAAAAACACTAATCATGTGTGCTCACCAGTACTATCCTAAGAAATCCATCACTGATCGCTGATCAAGTGGTCCTGGTGAACGCGCCCATTGACTGCGTTTAAAATGACTGAAAATTATTGTACTCGAAAGTATTTATTTTTTCTAAATACGTACATATGTATATAGAAAATGCAAGGTGTAGCCAAGGACGCCGATTAAATTGGCAAAATCAAAATAAAATCGCTTTTTATAATACCATCATTTTCGGATACGACCATCAAAGATACCATAAGTTCTTTGCTCGATCAAGGTTTCGCTTATTGGAAATTTATTCAATATTTGTAATATTTCATGTAAGTTTAGAACTTAATTATCGGGAATATCTGAATCAAATAAAATCAATCCTTTTTTTAAAAACTTTGGGCCGGCCTATGACAAGATAAATGTTATCCGAATTAGCGTAATTTTCTCGGAATTAAATTTCAGTACCTACTTATCCGTTTACACGACTGTTAAATCTTAACTTGACATATAGAAATGGGCCCTTAAATCTAAGCTAATTATTCAGGCTAATTGGAACATCATCGGATAGGTCCGATGCAGATATAACTAAGAAATAAAAATATATTTTCCATGTGGGAATAAAAACATTAAAAGAAGCTGAAATGCCACCATAAATAAATTAAATTACCATATAACTTTAGTCTTAATCTAAAAATATGATCCTGATTACGACCAGGTCTTGGGTACACTGAATGATCCGAAGCGCTGATGAGCATCGACGCCACGCACAGCGAAATAGTAGCGCTGGTTTTCTTGGAACTGATTGAGCGTGACAGCCATGGGCAACAGCATGGCTTTGACATCGCCCACGTGCCTCCAGGAATCGGTGCTGGGCTCATGTAGAGTCTCCTGGTACGCAAATATCTGATACGTTACGCAGTCGGCAAATCTGCTACTCGCATCCTCCAGATTCCAGGAGATGACAATACCTGTGTCCATAAGACTGATGCGTATGAGAGGCCGAGACGGCGGTAGCTTCCAGGCGGGATTGAAGGGCTGTGCAGGCGATGATGGCAGCGGCGCTGGATGCGAGTACCTCAAGCGAGTGGGGGCAGGCGGCGTGTTCTCCGACCGAATTTGCATCGTCACATTCGATCCAAGGGAATTGCGCTGACCTGTTAAAGATGTCGAATCGAGTCAGAAATCGATCAAAGGCACCAATTCAATTCAGGACTCACCTCCACCGTTATTGGTGACTATTTGTCTGGCATTGGCTCTTGGCATTTGCAAGGGCGACAATCTCACAGTATTTCCACTAGCAGCTGTACGGCCTCCCGTGGCTCTTGACTCAGACGTCGTTGCCCCCAGAGAATTCCGCTTAACGGCCATGTTGGATGACTGCCGTAAATGTGCGTTGACCTCTGCAGCGGCAGCCGCCATAGCTGCCGCAGCATCGTCTTCGTCTGTGAGATCAATTACAGCCTTCTCCTTGGGCTTGGCTGGAGCCAGGTTTGGTTGCTGCTGGCCATAATTGAGAGCACTGCCGCCTGGTCCTCCACTGCTGCTAGTTGAGGAAACGGGTACAGAGACGATACCAGTTCCCTTTGGAGTCAATGAGCGCACTTTAGTTGCACACTTTGGCCCCTGCTTAGCCGGACTGGGACCAGGAACAGGGCGGGTTCTACGAGGAAATAGAAGACATTATATTACAGGAGCAAACCTTGTAGTCGGATGACTTACGCTTGATATTGCTGCTTTTGCGTCGTATAAGGACTCCTATTCCTCATCGCAGCTGCCGATGCAGTGCTACCTGTGTGCTTTGAGGCATGCATAGGCCTCTGAGTTCCAGGGGGAGAGCTCTGTAGTCGACAATTGTTGGACTGGGTGTTCACCTGGCCCGCTGGGAATCCGATTCCAGGGACTGGTCGCTGTGGAGTAATCTTCTGCATGCATCCCCTGCGTACCGGAGGCGCAGGAGCAGTGGCAGTGGGAGCAGGAGACTGATTGTAGGAAACTGAGGAGCGTTGCGGTGGCAGTTGCGGCTGGTTTTGCTTTTGATGATTCTGTTGCTGTTGCTGTTGATGCGCATTGGAACTCGCGCCCGAACCAGCTGCCCGCATTGACTGCAACGGCGATCGCATAGGAGATGTGCTCGCCTTGGAAGGAGTGCTACTTGGAGGCGCCAACATACTGCCCGCAGCATGTGTCTGGTCTCCAGCGCTGGGAGCAGCATTCGGCTTCATGACCTTGAAAGGAATACCTACTTGCAGTCCAACTGCTCGTGTAATTCTCACCGGGGCCGTGAAATGTGCATTCTTGGTCTCCAGATCCTTCAGTACCCGCTTGTGCACCGTGTCCAAGTCGAGAAACTGTTTTGATACTTCCGCTATCCTGCGACGATAGATGGAAAGAGTCTTCTCGTACTTGTCCAGCTGGGAGCGGATATCCGCAAACTCGCTTTTCACCATCATACTCTCAACGACCTTCTGGAGGACGAGTTCTTCCAGATCATTGCGAGTCATTTGGTCAAAGCTCTTGCGAAAGCTCTTTAGGAACTCCAGACGCAGCGGCTTAACATCGATTTGGCGCTCTGGCTCTGGTTTTAGCTCCAATTTTAGCTCCTTTTGGTCCTTTACGCTGACTGGGTCTTCCTTTTTGGCCAAATCGGAGTCCACCTCTTTCTCCTGTACCTCCAAGTCAATTTGAAGTGTGCCATCATTGGAGCTACTCGAATCGGAGTCATCAGTCCTGAGTTTCTTACTGGGAATCCCCTCCTTTCCTTCCGCGGGGCTGGAGTCTAAGGAATCGTGGCTACGCTTGGTCACAGTGGAATTGGATTCGGTCTCGTTGCCATCGTTGGATATGCGTGACTGCTTCGGCTCCGTATCCGCATCCGCATCGGGCTTCGTCTCGGATTCTACATCAGAATTTGCTCTCTCGGCGGTGCTAGCCTTGGGCCCATCTGATTCGACATCTTCAGCGGGACACAGGAGATTGCTGCTCGAGTTGCTGTTTCCGTCTTCCGTGGCAGTGGGCTTTATCTTATCTTGTGGCTTTATCTTCTCGAATTGATCGCATGCATTGTCGGAATTGTCCGCTTGGAGATCTTTGCTTGCAGCGGACTCCGTTGGATTCATGTTGGAGTCATTTGGAGTGAGCGAGGAGGACTCCTTTTCGGAGCCCTTCGTTCCCTTATCTTCGGGTTTCTTTGGAGGCAGTTCCTCCTCTTCGTCCTCCGACACCAAAACTATGTCATTTTCCATACTGCCGGACACTGCTGATTTAAGTTCTTTTTTTTCCTTTGGATCTGCTGAATCCTTGGGCTTTTCAATAGGTTCAAAGAAAATTACTTCATCATCCGAGTCTGCATCTTTGGCAGCTGCTTCGGGAGATATTTTTCCCTTGTACAACTCCAATTCCATGCCCCTCCCATCAGACAATGTCTTGGGTGGGATCTCTGGTTCTCTCTCTGTGACACCATTAGTCGTCGGTTTCTTTTCGTCCTCTTCTGTAGTTTTATCTTCCGCCTCCTTTGCCGCCATTTCGCCCGCATCTTTATCGGTTTCTCCAGCTACTTCTTTTGCCATATCATCTACGGTACTCGTGGTCTCCATCCTTTCCTCCGTCTGACTTTCATCCTCTGGCTGCTGAGTATCTTCGGGGTCAGCTATCTTTTTATCTTCCTCGACAACGTCCATTGGCTCAGCTGAGGTAGTATCTCCTAGGGTCTCCTTGGTGTCCTTCTCTTCCTCCTTATTTTCAGTAATCTCATCTGTAACCTTTTTCTGATCTTCAGCTAAATTGGCAACTCTATCCTCGCAAACAATACACTCATCCGATGAATCTAAATCGATGACTGGTATACTGGAGGGATCCTTATCAGGGGTCTTTTCTTTGAGAATATCCTCATCTGAGGAAATGTCATCCAGATCATTTGCTAGACTTTCACGAGAAATCACTTTAGTCTTGGGCGCCTTAGCGGGTTTCTCTTCGGATGTCTGCGTCTTCTTCAATTCCTGGGAACAAGTGGCCCCAAAATCATCTAAGCTCGAAATGCTGTCCAGGGCATCCATAAAGATATCATCCGTAGATTGGTTTAGCTTTGCCTTGCTCTCGGCGTCACAACTATCCCCATTGGTTTTCTCTGCAGATGTTTCCACATGTGATGCTTCTTCTTCTTCAATTTCCTTCACTGACTCGGACTCTTCTTTGTTGTCTAACACTTTTTCCAAGGACTCGCCATCGTTTTCAGCTTCAGCGGAGTCCTTGAGCTCTTCAGTATCTTTCTGGTCTTGCACGGGATCTTCAATCGCTTCCGCACTATCTTCAGTTTGGATTTTCTCCACCGAATCGCGCGTCACGCTGCTTTCACCCGCGGCAGCTTTTTTCTCTTCTTCTTCTGTATCAGCTGTGTTTTCCTTGACGACAGCAGGGTTGATTTCCTTTTCCTTATCGCCATCGACTGTTGGCATCTCAACGACTGTCGCCTCAGGCTCTTGCACAGCCTCTTCTTCGGAATCTGGCGAATCCTTGGGGCAATCCACAATTGAACTGATTTTATCCAGCAAAGCGTCCAAGTCATTTCCAGCGTTTCGTTTTTCTTCCAAGCCTACTGTCAATTTATCATCAGCTTTGACGCTCTTAAGACAGGCGATGGCTATTGCTTCGCTGCCATTAGTCAATTCCTTTAAATCTTCGTCATCCCTGGACGACCGTCTCGATCCATTGCCGATTTCTGTAACAATTTGTTGCATACAAAATATTTTCTTTTAAATTCCATTTTTACTTACCACTGGGACTGGCATCATCATTGAGTTCTTCTTGGATTGCTCCCATGATTGCGCCTTCTGTTGACAGTTCTTTTAATTCCGTATTTTGACTTATTTCCATCATTTTATCAGAGTTTTTTTATTTGTTTCAATTGCAAAACATTGAACTATTAAAAAATGTCAAAAGGAATATCGGTGACTGTTAGCCGGATCAAATATAAAACGGTTTTACAAAGTAAATTATTTATTCCCAAATTAAAAATCATAAAGAATTAAAAGCTTTAAGGAAAAAGCTTGTGCAAGCTTTTTCAATAGTTTTCGGCTTGACTTATTGAAAGGTCGAGAACTGGGTTTCTAAAGCACGTCTTATGTCTTCCAACGTTCAAGGTGCAAAACCCTAGAACCCTAGACCAAATATACTTGAGCGAGACAAGGCGGATATGGGGTTTTTAGTTATTGTTTTTATTTCCTAATAATAGATAGTCACACTACTAAACTACTGATCCCAAAACTCCAAACTCCAAACCAGAAATATATCTCAATACCACCAGCTTTCATTCCGACGCTTTGCGCTATTTCGGTTTCAGTGTGTATCTATCAAACCAAACCATGTGTTGTCGTTCCGAACGCGGTATGTCGGTCGGTCGTTCGCTGGTCGGCACAACAACAACGAAGTGACTGCAGCAGAAAGAAACAAAGCAAAGCAAAGCAAGAGAAACGGCGTGCAAAAAGAAGAGAAGGAATGATAAATTAAGGTAACTGGAGGAAAGGCGAAAAATACTCAATGTGTAGGCTGGGACGGGACGTAAAGGAAAACTTTTTCTGAATAGTCGCTATCAATGCTAACAAAAGTGAGGTTAGGTTATGTCAGATATGTACTGTGTGTGAGAGTATGTAAGATATTCGTACATATGTACATTTGTATGTGCATTTTATATTTTGCATTCACTAAGAATGTATATACATATATAACGAATTATTGTTTGAGGAGACTTACTTATTTTAAGAAAACTTGGACGGGCTTGAATTGTTTTGTGTGGTATTTTATTATTTTATTTTAACTACTACACTTGAAGAAATCGAAATGACAGTTCTCGCCGAGTTCACGGCACCACTGAACATGGTGCCGAAGCGAACATCAAACCAGCTGACGGCGAGCGCAAAGAGAGAATCGCTGCGGCTGAAAGCGGCGAGAGAGGGAGAGAGCACGCACGCCGTTGTGGTGGTCTAGGGAAAGAGGGCGTGTCAAAGTGGGATGATAAGACTCGATAGTGATTCTACAATGGAAATCACTTTCACATCCATCTTAAAGCCCTTACGCTTTTTTCCGACCGTTCATTATGTATGTATGTATGTCTGTAATGTCTTTAATGTATTGGTGGGCAGCAGTGAAATCTGACCATAGTTGTATGTACATATAGTCAAATGTCCTAGAGTCGAAAGGCAATGACGTTGTACGGGTTTGGCCATAGCAAGTTGGCAGTCTCGTTCATGACGTCGTTGCTCCACTGGTAGGTTGTACGGGGTAAGGGGTTTTAAAATTTAAATTGACCAGGGATCTTCGTCGGTTGACGAGTGAACCCCGCGCCGTTTTGATAACAGCGAAAAGGCAAAGCAAACGAAAGTGAAATAATGGCAAAGGTAACGCAGTGTTTTTACAAACACATGCGCTTGATTGTGTGCGAGTGGGAGGGTAAAGTGGGAGAATAGTCTGCGAGAGCGGGACGACCGTATGATTTGGTGATGGTAGTGTAGGGGGGGGCACAAATTAAATAAATATTTTTTATATTTTGTTCTTTCCGAATCGAAAGATTATTTAGCAGAAAATACCAATAACCTGGGCAACAAAATTAAAAGGCAAATAAACGTACATATGTAGCTTTGTTTGTAAATCTAGTCGCTATAATAGAGAAGTGGGAGGGATGGGGTGGGTCGAGTTGGGGTTATGAAAATAATGTCTACCAAATACCAAATTTAATCTTAAGACTTGGAATCTAGGGTTTAGAGGTTTTTGATGCAGTTAGGACCTCGTCAGGATACCGGTTTAGAATAGAGTTGAAGAGCGAGCGAGATGGAATGAGGGCGAGAGAGTAAGCGAAGAGAGTATGAGAGAATAAGAGGTACAAATATATATACGTACGTATATATATACGCAGCTATATGTATGTATGTATGTACATATAATTGAATAAAGTTCGCGTAGCACCGAATACAACACGAAAAAATCGTTGTTGTTGGCGTCGTCGGACGATGAGATGAGACGAACCGAAAGATACAGCAGCAGAGTGAAAAAGCAACAACTAAGACAGACGCAAATACAAACTGAGGCGAGGGTACCATATTTTCTGGTCGAATCTTTTATTAGGGCTAACCATTGGTCCTACCAGGGAAGTTGAATGCGAATGATCCAAGTAAAAACTGAAACTATGATAGGTTCCCATTACCATTTCCTAATAATATAAAAGAGTATCGAATACTATCTGATGTACTCATAAATGTTTGATTTCACAAACACATACAAACATAGCACATAGATACAGCCATACATTTATCTTTGCATTTTTGTGACGAAAAAAACCAAACTGGACAATTGGCTTTAAAAATCTTAATTTCGGCTATGGCTCGTTCTGGACCCGCTTGGGCGTTATGTCCATTATATCTGTTTCGCTCACACACACACACATACGATTGCGTCCGCTTAAGCAATGATGTGTGTGTGTGAGCTCGTGTGTATATCAGAATGTGTCTGTGTGTGTGTGCAATTTTGCAACGCGTTCACATTCTTTTTAGGTTACGTATCGATTTTGGTACAAAGTGAGGTTAGGTTGAAAAATATCTACGTTCCCGAAAATTTGAGGGATCTAAGGACATTCATGCATTCCTCATATCATTCTTTCCAAGGATCTAACATAATGTTACCTAACAAACTGCGACCAAAAAAAACCGCAACCAAACTAGCCTCAGCCAAAAGTAAAAGCAAAAGGGGCACATTTTTATTCATCTATTAAACATTTTATTGTTTGCATGGTTGCCAAGTCTGAAAGTCTGGTGGTGATATATTAAATAAAATGGAAATGCAAATACATATATATGTACATATATAATTGTGACCATATTGTGGAGCAGGGTTGCCACCGGTGATAAGTCAGACACCTTGGCATATTAAATGTATGTTTAATGGCTGTTGTTAAGCCCCTGAAGCTCAGGTGTATACACCAATGGCACTACGTCGATTTTTCAATATATTCGGTCAAAACATACATCTGATTTGATCCTATATACATATCTACATACCCGATACGAAACTACCTGACAACTCTGAAAACACAAACAAATGCTTTGGGAATGAAACCCATAGTAGATGACAACAAGCGAAACCAATCTAAATTGGATCACACAAGTTATAATTCCAATAAACCAGTAAATTTGTAGCTTATATTCTAACGCCAACACTAATACACTACCTTATTCAACTTAAAAATACAATAGTTTCAAAGAAAATGTGCACTTACCCTCTTAAGACCCGATAAACGTGTTTACTAACTGGCTTCAAAATTTTTAGCAGGCAAACTATACCATGACCCAAGCTGAGAACGATTGATAGCCAATAGTTTAAACCCTTTTGACAGTTTTTTTAAACAGATTTGTTTACAAATCCGTAAGGAAAATCCGCGTCCGATGCCGCTTCTGGATGAAACAGTGACTAAAATAAGAGCAGCAACAACAAAAGTGTAAAAAAAGAACCAGTTCTACCACTTAGACCAAAAGTACTGGAACCAAATCACAAACAAAACATCTGTTCGCTTCCAAGGGTGGGGAGTGCCACCAGACGGAACCATTTTTAATGAACGAAGCCAGAGGAAGATGCCAGGAAAACAATTTTGATCATATAAGTGAGCCAACAAAAATTATAGGATGACAGTGCTTAATTTTTCTTTGGCCCTGTGAATGTTGGCACTCGAATTACAAATTCTACATGTATAAAATAATACTGAACTTAATCAGTATCTAAAATTGTAAGTTCACTTGGTGATTTAGATCCGTATTGTAGCCACAAAACTTTGCTGCCATCCCTGAAGCGGTGGTGTGAAACCAGTTCCGATTCATGAAAACATAAACATCTGTAGATTGTAGGTTATTTTGATTTATAATAAATGCAGATAAATTCACAGAAATATCAATTAAAATGAGTAATCTCATAAACTTCGCCCTAAGAAAGGGTGCAAGTTTGTTGACAAGACGCAGCCTGCAATGTTTTCGACTAACAGTTCCGGTTGTGGTTAACAAAACGCCGGTGGCTGGCGCAATAAAAAGGTATTCCTCTGGAGCTGCGCCTTTTGATGTGAGCACAAGCGTGCCAAAGGATTTAATCCTCTTTAAATATGAGAATCCAAGGTTCTACAAGATGCTCAACTTTTTCGGAATATGCCAATTTGTGTTCTGGACATATCTTTCCCACTTTGCCTTTACAACGCTAAAGGATGCGCCCGTGGTGGAGAATCCAGGGGAGGAGCTGAAGTGGTTTCAGCGCATAAATCTGGGCGAAAATAAGTACAGGAATGCCATCACTGGTTGCTGCTTTTTGATTGGTACGTACATATTTGCAATAGATGATATGGTATGATTCGAATTATATCTTGTACATTTATAGGCTACGGAATTCTGTTTGCTGTTTGGATGTTTACGCTTCGCTCCGTGCGTTTCCTCATCCTACGCAAGGGCGGTCAGAGTGTCTCCTTTGTTACCTATGGACCTTTTAACCGCAATCGTATCATGACTGTCCCACTTAAATGCATCTCAGCGCAAGAGTCTCGTGCAATGGCCAGAGTGCAACTACCAATCAAGGTGAAGGAAAGGACACTCTACTACGTGCTGGATATGCGTGGAGAATTTCGTAATCCCCAACTGTTTGACTACACGGCGGGATTAAAGCGACGCATTTGAAAGTAATTTGTTTAGTTCATTGAAAATGTTGCAACTTATTTGTAAATACACATGTACCCTAATTAAACGTAAACTCAGACTTAGTACACTGGTTCTGGCTTCTGGGTGAGCAGCAGACTGAAGCGCTTCTTGATGGTAATGCGCTGGCGTGAGTACTTGTCTTCCGGCGAGAAACGGGCTGGATGTGCTGACAAGGTCGGACGGCCGTCCTCGGTGCGCTTCTGCAATATCGACGAAAAATGTAGTTTAACAAATCAGAAAAGTTGCAGCACAGCGCACTTACCTTCAGCGTGTAGACGCGGTTGCCGCTTTCGTTGATTGTGTACATGAGATACATTTTTGTGAGAAAATTCAATAAATTGTCGCAGTAAATAAAAAAACACGTGTGGCGTGCTTTGCTTTCAATGAGTACAGTGTTTGTTAACGCAACGGCAGGGATGAAACATCGGCTGCACGTGAGAAACCAATCGAATGCTCACAAAGAAATTTCATATCGATGTTGACGACTTACGTTTTCCAACTCTTGGTTTATAAATGGCGCAAAAATGTCGAATAAATCAGACAAGCTGCACAAGCAACATAAGAGGGATCAACAAAAGCGAATCAAACCAGGAGAATGTCAGAAATATGTGCGTATGGTTATAGACGCTGCTTTTTTGGACATTCCTGTTGGCCAGGAGCTTTTGCAGCAAATAAACTCGGCCGACTTGAGCTATGAAATTCGCAGTTTGCCAGTCGGAAAATGTATCATCTGGGAGCGCAATATGGGCCAGCACACAATAGTTCCAGGAAGTAGCGGTTCTGGCCTGGACGAAGTCTGGAAAACGGAAAATCATGTCCTCCATTGGATAACCGAAGCAAATTTGCATCACTCTCATAAGGAGCAAAGAACTTGCCTGGGACACGAGCTGCAGGTCGCCTTTCCCAACTGCCAATACACGGTGGTGTTGCCGAAACTGCGTCACAGCAAGCACAGCTCGAGCAATCAGGATCCCAGTGGCTTGATCGAGCTCCAACTGTTGCAGCAACTTCACGTGGAGCAGCTGGGAAGTCCTGAGAGTCAAGAGCTGTTGTGCCTGCTCCAACGCTATACAAAGGCAATTGCCGAGGCCCCGTACAAAAAACAACGCGATGAATCTTTGGGGTTCTTCAAGAAGTACTTGGCCAACGACAAGAAACAATGCGTCCGCGTCGAGCAGGGCAATGGCTATGGACGTCTATGGCAGCAGCATCTGAACCGGCTGCCGCTGGTCACGCTCGAGGTGGCCGAATCCATTATAGCCCAATATCCCTGTCCCAAGCAACTGTTGGACCACTTTTCCGATGATCCCACGGCTGTGCAGTCCCTGGCTGATTTAAAGATCAAGCGCTGCAATGGACCACAGCCCCTCCACACCGAACGACGCATAGGAAACGTTCTCAGCAACAAACTATTCACTTTATACAATGCAAGAGATCCCAATACGCTGATTTAGTTTTAGAATCTGCTCGTGTATTCGGCTGCTATCGTATGTACAATTGGAGTAAATATTTAAAGTAAGAGCTTAATTTTTTACATTATTCCTCTGGTCGTATATAGTATATGTGTGTATGTATATTTAAAAATCACAATATTCTTAGACGCATATCAATGATTTTGTTATAATTGTTGTCGGGCATCTGTCCGGATGCTCTGTGAACAATGAATTAAAAAAAGGTATGATAATGCTTACAAAATAAACTCTAACTTATGGCGGAGTATGCTACATGAAAAGTTCTATGATGAAATTTCAGTCCATAATCTAGAGCGTGGCCAAGATTCGAGTGAAGCCCAGGCATGCCGAGACTATGGTCTGTCCAAGACCCCAAACCATTGCATAAATAGGCGACATGGGCAGGCTGGAAGCACGATGCACAAAAGCAATTACCGCACTGCTAATGATGCCACTAGAAGCCGGTGACAAGAATCCCATTAACCAGAATTAGTATAGAGAAGAATCGTCCGAATTTATGCTTTCGTAGCGTCACAAACGCCACTAGAGCGGCACAGGTGTGGATGAAAATGGATGAGAAGAGGGCCCACAGAAATATGTGGTACCACATTTCGCGAAATGTGTTTAGGCGAGCCTGTGAGCGCAGTCCCATCACATCGGCGATGGTGTCCAGCTCATCGGTGTCATACGGTTCGGAAAACATGACGGGCGAAGCGTGATTCTGACCTTGGATTGTTGGAAGAATTTCGGGCTGGATTGGCTACTAATTACGTTGCTAGTTATTGCTTTTCCGTTTCTCTGAGTTGGTCATTGGTGTGCTGTGCTTATTGACTGCTCCTCCGAAGTGGTCCGAGGGGCACTGTTCCTATCAATGCTACTATCAAGTGACGTTCATAGACCTGTAAGTGTAAGTGGATCTCGCTTCAGTTCTGTTGACCTTTTGGCAGACTCTTTCAATACTTACGCCCACACATGTGCCCACCCCGCCCTCATTAGCTTGTTTTCTGTTGGCCGGAATGCACTTTCTTACTACTTTGTGACGTGCTTGATAACTGCAATCCGTGTTATAACATGGTTGCGGTTTCCTTCTTGTTAAAAGTGTTTTTGTTTTATTTTTTTTATTTGCCAAGCAATCGATTTGACATTCAATTGACGACTTGCTCGCGGCAGTGAGTCTTTAGGTCATACTGTTTGTCCTACCGTTGGATGTGGGGGGTGGGTGTCGTTCAATATTGTCAAAATAAAACACACTTTGAATCTATTTTAATTATTGTTAAATTTCGTGTGTTGTGTGTTTTCTTATTACAGACGGCAGGGCCAGTTCGGAACTAGTCAGCTGTGATTCATAAATGAACCAATCCATTAACTTTTGACGGAAATTTAACAGAAATGTTACCATTCAAACGTTGATATTCCTCGATTTTGATATTCCGTTTAATATTACTAGCTAGTTGGCCCTCTCAGCCGTAAACAAAAAATTATATCCGATAGATACATAAATTTACAACAAGATTGGCAAGATTTTCAGAAGTCCTTTTTATTGTTTACATAAAAAGGTTCAAACAAAAACAACATAAAACGAATGTGACGTCGTTTTTTGTGGCGTTGCCAGACTTGTGCTTCGCAGTTTCGGGTGCCCCATGTATTCCGTTTCATTACTGTTCCGACCATCTGGCACCCTATTTAAAAAACTAGCAAAAAAAGAAGGTAAATTTTCCGCAAAAGGAAGAAGAATAAAAATTTTCCGCAAATATGAAGAAGAAGACAAAAATATTTTCCGCAAAAAGAAAGAAGAAGAACCTCTGCGCGCAAATTTTTCTTTGTTCTCGGTAATTATCGATATCGACTTATCGACGGCAAGAACTAGTTCAGAGAGCTGTCATTTAGTGACAACCAATCCATAAACAAAAAATTTTGTGTAAACTAAAAACAAAAGGAAGTTGAAAGGCTAAACTTTAGTATAATTTTGCCTCTTATAATTTGTTAAATTTTGGTTCAGAGAATGGGATGCTAACAGGCCCTTACCAGGTGTAAGTAGCTCTAACCTGCTATGACACATTTCTGTACCGCATTCATATGTATGTACATACAATTGTATGTCGTGTTTATACTTATGTATCTTACGCACTTACGTACAAATGTGCATACATACATATGTGTGCGTTAATGTGCAACGCAACGCATTGTGTGGCGACTCCACCGATCGACGGGGAGACTCAGATATAGTGCCCAGCAATATGCTTGCACGCATGCATAGATATGTGTACTTATGTGCCTGTGTCGCGATGGAGATTAATTAATTGCCCCTCTTTGCAGACTGTTGAAGAAGTACATATATTCAGTCCAACCACACCAACAACGCATTTAATCAATGTTCTCCAACGGATTGCCGTGCAATCTGTCGTTTCCGAGCTGTCTCAGTGTTCCAAAAGACGAGATCGGCAATGAGGAGCTCTTGCCATCCAATATGGGGACTAGAGAGCCTGTAATTCTCAACGTCTACGACATGGTGGGTATTCCCACTTGATACTCCACGAATTTCTAATTTGATTTGTTATTTTTTGTTTTTTTTTAGTACTGGATCAATGAGTACACAACGTCAATTGGTCTCGGCGTATTCCACTCCGGTGTAGAAGCATTCGGTACTGAATTCGCCTACGGCGGACATCCATTTCCCTTTACGGGGGTATTCGAAATATCTCCGCGAGATCACGACGAACTGGGGGACCAGTTCCAGTTTCGGCAAAGCATTCAAATCGGCTGCACCGACTTCACGTACGAGGAAGTGCGCCGGATTGTTGAGGAATTGGGCAATCAATTTCGCGGCGATCGTTACCACCTTATGAACAATAATTGCAATCACTTTTCTGGCTCCTTGACACAGGTGCGGTCAGCCGAATTACCTGATAAAATTCCAATAATAACGTACTTTTCTTTCCAGATACTTTGCGGCCAAGAAATACCTAGCTGGGTCAATCGTTTAGCGCATTTCAGCTCCTGTGTGCCATTTCTACAAAGGTGTTTGCCCAAGTAAGCGATATCTATAACCTCATTGCGCCTTTGTCCTGTACGCCAATTGTTATTGCTTTTGATTTCAGAGAGTGGCTAACACCAAATGCCCTGCAGCAGAGCATAACCACACATAACCAAGAGCGCGAAGACTCCGACAACAGTCCCCTTTGAGACATTTGAGACCTGATCGAAAAATACGAAAATCACTTGCGAACACCCCACAAGCGATCATAAAACAAAGTTCACTCCCAATTGCAGTCCGAAGACCAACATTGTTAAGTTAAATTGTTCGAAGTGATGGGTTACGTTACTCAAATTTACATAGGCATATATACATACGTTCATTTCCAAGCCAAGAAACGCCCCAAACCCAAATCCAAAAAACAAGAAACAAAAAAAAACTATTATTAATAGACTTAATTAGGCGATATATACATATACATACTTACGTACATGCATAGATACATAGATACATATACATACATGCGAAGTGACTAAATTATTGGCTATTGTAATTTGTATTTGTAATACGACTATTCAGAGTTAAGATATTGTTAAGTGGCCGGTTAAATTTAAGTAGCAGGCGCAGTCAGCAGCAGCAGTGTCATTTATAGAATTTTAAATTAACAACTGAAAGAAACATCGATAAATCATTATTAGGCACTTGCTAAATTGTACTAACAAACAAAACAAAAAACAACAACAACAGACATAACATACATATAGGTAAACGATATCAAATGTTGCCCAATTTACTGGTTTACTTTTGTCAACCGGGGTGTGGGGGGAATTTTACTTTTTTGAATTCCCCGACCCACCAGCGGAGCTCGATTATGGAAATAGTTTTCTGTTTGAATTCGTTGTAGCATTATACAGAGCGCTCTCATTAAGCAGCCGCATATGTCTATCAAAACACCAAAATGATCTGTTATCAATAAATATATGTACTTGACATTCTGATATTTACACATGCATAAATACTATTATTAAACATTTTTAAAGAAAAAAATATATTTTGATCGAAAACAATTCTTTGGATTTCATTCAGCGTCCTACTACTAATTGATGATTATAATGATATGAAATAAAGTCAGGTCTATTTCGTAGCCTAAATATATCTAGAAATACTCGTAGAAATATGAAAAATTCTTAAGCTCCGTCCAGCTTCACCCCTGCTACGCATAAATTTCACATTACAAAGATTTCAACAATGCTTGCTAAAGTAAATATTTCAAATTTATTAATTGTGGTAGTGGTACCTCTTTTATTTAATATAGTCGTAGTATTTAAAATTCAAATCCGAAATGTGTTATTTATGGGAAGCTGTCAAGATTCTGAGATGGTACCAAAGTCACCTAAATAAATCCCATAAGATGCCAAACACTTTTGCGTAGAATATTTATGTATATATTTTAAAAACCATCGGGACAGGATTCACCAATTGAAAATAAATTAATTGTTTTGTTTTAGTACAGTATGTGATTAAAATTATGATAAATATATTAGGATTAGCTTTGTACAATAGGGAAAACTTCGATAGTCCTTGTCCGGTTAAACGCCCTAAGACTCAAACAAGACTCGAGACATTATTGTATATGCCAATGGCTGACAATTCCTCCACATCGACATCGTCCGTTGGTGGCAGACGATTCTGCCAGGCAATCGGATGTGTGCTGGGGTTGGGCGTGACAATTCCTTGGGAACGGGGCGACTGAAGAGGCCTATAGGTGGCTCGATTAACGTATTCTCCGCTCAGAGATATATTGGATTGGGCAGTGGTGAGCACTTGTCCCGCATAGAGTTGCTCCCCATTACGATAGAAATTTCCATTTGGTACGTAGCCAGAGCTAATCCGTCTGTGCGAAGGCTGCGGGGGCGGGGGCTGGGGACGATGTGGCAGCTCATGGAAGTAGGCATCTTTGGGTATGTGTCTGTCGGGGAGGCCAAATTGGGGAACAATTCTGTGGGGTATGCTGTACGTTGGCGATGGGTTCAGCGAGGCAGCTTCAATGTGCTGGAAATTGTTGTTCAGATGGGACGGCGATCGCGAGGACATCAAATTTGCAGGCGGTGAGTCCTGCCGCTGTCCGGGCTGTAGATTCGAGTCTATTGTGCTCTGCAGTTGGGCCACCATGCCTCTGACCTGACCCATATTGGGCTTTTTGAGGCATTTGATTTCGCTGTTCCTGATCTCCACTTTGCCCACGGTCGCCTCGTTGCCATTCTGCCTGATCTCCGCTTCCTCGGCGTACTCCATAATTGGGTTCGAGTAAAACATATTCGGCATGGTGGGAAAACTATCCTCCAGACAGAGAGGTTGTCTCTTAATTAGATTGGAGACCCCTCTCTGGCCGCTAGAGTGCGGCTGACCAAGGGCTGCTGCTTCGCAGGCCTGTTCTTTGTACAATAACTTATCTCCACAGATTCTGTCCGCACTCTCGTTGAGGGCAGCTTCCTCCTTGCTCAGCTCCGCGAAGGTGGCGTCTTTTCTCAATGCCTTGATCACGGAGTTGAGCATGTTCTCCCCGCGCCCGATTCGATGATAGTACTTGTGATAGTCGCCTGGGGGTGGATGACTGCCGGTCGGTGACGCCTCCCAGTCCCAGCTGTTGGAGTTCTGGGAGGGGTTTGATGTTTCACTGGAGTTGGGATAGCGCCGCAGCACGTGCGTGTACTCATCAAAGTTGGGGCTGTTGACACTCTCCTTGTCTTCGCGCAGACGGGCTGACTCGGCTCCGGGACTTGGCTTATACGGAGGAGAGAGCGAGGAAAGCTGATGTTTGCTCTCCTGTTCGCTATCCCTTTCCATAATCAACGTGGTTTTCTCCAGCAGAACACCCAATCGTTCCGACACCTTCAGGAAATCCAGCTTCAGCTCGTCGAGCTTCGAATGCTCCAGTTGCTCGACTTCTTGCGTCTGTTCGGCCTCCGCCCGGCACGGAACCAGATCCACAGCAGCATCCCCTCTGGCCGTATCTGAGTCGTCATCGGTATCGCTATCGAGCTCCACTTCGGGTGATTGATGAACAATAGCTTCTACGGCCTGATCCTCCAGAACATCCACACTCCTGGAGTTGGTGAGCCTGCCAGTTTCGTAGTTTTTATCCAGTTCCAACAGCTCCAGGCTTCGACACCGCGAAAGTGTCCGCTCGATCCTTGAACTTTTGTTTTGGTTATCGTATGTGGATCGCATGGGTTCCCCTCTGCGCAGGAACTCGTTCAGGTGCTGTCTCTTGTTCTCGCACCGCAGCCGATCCTCGATCATTGTTCGCGTTAGCTGCTCTATCTGGTCATTGGTCTTGATGGCCAAGGCTTGAACCTTGTGACCCAAACGCTCCTTGGTCTTGTTCACGTACTTCTTCAGGCTCTTGCGGTTGCAGTTCAGTTTGTTCTCAATGTGACGGAAGAAGGGGCCACAGTAGCAGGTGTTGCCCACGCTCACGGGTCCCTTGTGTATGTGTCCGGCCAGATCCAGAAAATATTGCTCGCCCGGCTTCAGTGGATCTTTTGGCAGGGTTTCCAGCTTTGGTGAGGGAAAGGCGCGCGGATCGGGAAAATAGTGGCAGCCATAGGGCGACCAATTAATGCCCTTATCCACTACATCCCTTTCCTTATCTCTATCCTTGTCGGACCTGCTGCCCTCCTTGGGCTTTTCCTTGCGATTTCGGATTTTCTTCGGTGTATTCAGTATCTCAATTATTTCGCGATAGTTCTTTCTGATGGCAATATGCATTGGACAATCCCCTTGAGCGTTCTTAATCCCCAGACGAGCATCAGCCTCGAGAAGGATTCTGGTTAGCTTCCTTCGGCCCATGGCGCAGGTGATGTGCAGGGCGGTGTCTCCGTTCAGGTTCGTCTTGTTCGGATCGCACAAGGCAGAGAGCAAAATTCGTGTGACCCCGGCATGGCCATAGCGGCAGGCCGTGTGCAACGGAGTGTCGCCATACTGCAAAACATATTTTAATTGGTAAAAATTTACAAATGAAACGTTTCGCTTACATTGTTCTGCACATCGGGATCGGCGCCGGACATCAGCAGCTCTCTGGAGCTCTGATTGTGCCCATTCTGGGCAGCCAAGTGCAGGGCCGAGAGGCCCTCGTGGTTGACAACCCCCAAAGTGCTATTGTGTAGGGCTTCAATTGTGTTGGCCACCCTTGACTTGAGCCTGCTCTTCTCCTTGGGCTGCGCCTTGGCTGAGGGTGGGGGTGTGCAAATCAGTTTAACACAGCGACTGAAGCCTCGACTGGCCGCCTCATGGAGTGGGGTGTTCCCGAGACTTGACTCCTTGGCCATGCGGTCTGCATTCGTGGAAAGGAGAACTTCCAAGCGCCGGTCGTCCCCTGCGACCACCGCCTCATGCAGGGCTGTCCAGTTGCTAGAGTCGGGCTGCAAGGTAAAAGGGTTAAGCACCACTCAACTTGGCCGTTGCTGAACTTACACCAGATATGGCGTTTGGCAGAGCTTCCTGTTTCTGAATGCGGGTGGATCCATGCTGCATCGTTTGCACGAAATCAAGACACAAGCAATCGAATTAACAAACCTCAGATGGCAACGGCCATTGACCATTGATCTTGTCGGAGCCAGACATCAAGACTGTCAATCGTGCGATTACATACAAGTGTTTGCTTGTATGTGTTTGCCATGTACGAGTACGTAATGGCGTACACGTAGTAATTACAATTTCAAATCAAAATCAAAATACTCGTTCGTAAAACCGTTTTACCAATCCTATCACAACATAATTGATTTCAAACCGAACGAAGAATGTTCTTTCCTCTTAATTAAAACAACAACTCTGCAATTAAATTACATATATATTCGGAGTGACTACATTTCACTTAATCCCCAGGTTAAAGCCAGCTTGAAACTGCGTCTTGCCACAACTACGATCCGATCCATTTACTTGTAACTCGATTCTCAATTGCGCGCCCTTAACACATTTATTAGTTTCAGCTAAGATTGTACTCGCACATGCTGCTGTTGAATCAAATTACAAATTCCGTTTTTTGCACTATTTTGCTTACGTTATGTGGAACGAGAGATAATTTGGCCAAAGCCAGGCCTAAAAGAAACTAAAAGAAGAAAGCCAAAGCGAAATTGGCAACAGGTTTATCCTAGAGTTACCGTATGCGCAAAAAAGTTACGATTTTCCTGGAATTTTTTGAGGGTATATTTGAACTAAAAGTCTGCGGTCACACTGGCTGTCATCTGAAACAAATTTTTGTTTGTCATCCGCATTTTGTGAATTTTTAAAACTAAAAAAAATCATCTAGAGAAATGGCACTGGCTGAAATTTGTAAAATCTCCAATGCTTCGTACATGAAGCCCACTGCCTGGAACTCGGCCGATGCAAATGATGACTTGAAGACGTTTTCGTGCAACCTGGCGAACCCGTACACACTGGCTGCTCCGCCATTTGAGAATGTAAGAGTGGAAATTTCGCATAACCATCAAAGATAGTTTATATTTGCTCGTACCTTTGCAGCCTATGTACAACTTGAATCAGATTCAAGCAAATTCTGGCAAAACCGGCATTAAAATCGACTTTGATCATGGCACCACAACCCTGGGCTTCAAGTACCAAGGAGGCGTCATTTTAGCTGTGGATTCACGTGCCACTGGAGGTCAGTACATTGGCTCGCAGACAATGAAGAAGATTGTGGAGATCAACGACTTTCTGCTGGGCACCTTGGCCGGTGGTGCTGCCGATTGTGTCTACTGGGATCGTGTCCTGTCGAAGGAATGCCGCTTGCACGAGCTGCGCAACAAGGAACGCATCTCGGTAGCCGCAGCCAGCAAGATCATGGCAAACATTGCCCACGAGTACAAGGGAATGGGTCTCAGCATGGGCATGATGCTGGCCGGTTATGATAAGCGTGGTCCTGGCCTGTACTATGTGGACTCTGAGGGTTCTCGCACGCCAGGAAATCTATTTTCCGTTGGCAGTGGCTCTTTGTTCGCCTATGGCGTGCTCGACTCTGGCTACCGCTGGGACTTGCAGGATAAGGAGGCACAAGACCTGGGACAGCGTGCCATTTACCATGCCACCTTCAGAGATGCCTACTCTGGTGGAATCATCCGTGTTTACCACATGACCCCAACTGGATGGATTAATGTTTCCAACACAGACTGCATGGAGCTGCACTACAAGTTCCAGAGCGAAAAGCAGGCTCAATAAAAGGGCTTGTGGAGTTCATTCTAAGAAAATATTAATCATCCAGTCGAACGAAGTTTGTACTTTATTGGAATATAATAAATAAAAAAAAATAGCGGGGTAAATGGTTGCTATCCTTTTTGTATATTGGATTGGTTTTTCTCTTTGTCGGATCTCTGTTGGCTTATCATCTCCAGAGTCTCTTTGTGTCTCATCTCGGCTCGCTTCTGCTTGAAGGTGCGCTTGGTGTTGCCTCCGTCCACGCGCTTTCGTCGCAGGACACCACGTTCCATTGCCTGGCGAAGCTCTTGCGCTGCGTCAATATCGGTTGGGATGTGAATCTGACGAATCATGCGATTGCGAACCATAAAATTGTCGAAAGGATGTTGGCCGCCATTGCGATCAATGAGAACGACATTTGAGAGCTCACAGGTCATATGCCCGTCGGCTACATCAATAATTCCAGCTACAGAAGTCTCATTTCGTAGGTCAATTAGCACAGAGTGTCCTTGCAGCATCACAGGCCAACAGTTGAGAGTGTTGGCAATTAAATACTTTTCTTGGGCACTGAAATTTTGCATTTCTGTTTTAAATAAATCCAGTGGGTGATGGAACTGTTCTTCCCGTGGACTATGTGGTCCCAACGGCGGGGCCAGTGGACAACCAGCCCGAAAAATTATTCAATATTTATTATGTTTTATATAGCCCAAAAAGCTGACGATTGTTTAGAATTGAGAATTTGCAAGCACAAATAGACCAGCAAGCAGGGCTGCCAACTTGTTTTTAATACATACTTGTTATTTGTATGTATGTACAAAATTAGGTACACTTCGGGTTTTAAAATATGTGGAATTAAAACTAATATTGTAGAGTTTTTGCTGCCTTAAGTTTATATAGCTGTGCCACGCTCCAGATTCTGCTTGATCTCTGCAGTGTGCTCGCCATAGAAACGGTCCAGCTTCTTGTTGAACTTGGAGTTGCGCTCGTTGATAAAGTCCACATCGGCGTCGTCGTTGTATATGCGCCTTCTCGAGTACTTCTTCCTGCGTTCTATTTGCTGGTCCAGATCCTTGACCATTTTGTTAATGGCCGCCGGGGTGTCTTTCGTCAGTGCATGCAAAGTTGTGTGTGGACCTCCGTAGAAGGCTTCCCCGAGCTCAGCCTTTTGTTTTTCATACTTTTCCATGTCTCGTACTGGCATGCCTTTGACCAGGCGGTTGTATTGTCTTGCTGTTTGTGCCTCATACGTGGAGAAGCCCAAGTCGGGATTGTCCTTGCGTTTCTTTTTCTTCTCGATGCGTTCGGCATCAATGGCCGACACCTCCAACAGCTTTAAGCGCTCGTAGTCCTTGCCTGCTGCTTGTGCATCTTCCCGAGCCTTGTCATCTGCCAGAAGCCACTCTGCTTGGCGTTTACGTGCCTCCCAATTTTTGGGAAGTTTTTTACGGGCGTCTTCCGCCACAACTTCCTGATGATTGTCTGTGCGGGCTTCCTGGCGTTTTTTGTGCAGATCGAGGAGACGCGCCTTGCGTTCCGCCAGTTTGTCCGAGGCAGATTTGCTTTGCTCCATTGTTAAATTTTGTGTGAGACTAGTTTTATTAATGAAATTTGTGAATTCTTTGTTTATCTTTCCTAATTTTCTTCTTCTTTGCTTTTCTGGTGATAAACTACGTTGGCATCTCCCTCTCCAACAGAACAGCTGTCTGCAGTGCTGCCAAATTTTCATCAGAAAAACAGCCGTTTTAATTACAAAAATAGCTGAAAAATTCAAGAAAAAAAGCCAACAAAACGTAATATTTTGGTTTAAGATCCGCGTGGTTATCTTCAATTCTTCGCAAACCATTTCCGCGTTTTTTAAATTTCCAGAATTCCCGCCTTTCCCAAAATTTTCCATCAGGCTGTCTTCATAAAAACAGCCAGATTTACGGGAAAAAAGCGGCGTTGCCAACACTGCCTGTCTGACAACTAAGTGGCAGAGCCAACACGTGCGGGAGTTTTGTTTTGTTTTTTGCTAGGAACCAGCCAACAAAATGAAATTTTCTTACAAAGTAAGTTGCTTTAATCTATATAAAACACTCAACTCAACCTCTACTGTTATAGTTTTCCAACTTGTTGGGTACAATTTATCGCAATGGAAATTTGGTCTTCTCGCCGGATGGAAATTCAGTTATTAGTCCCGTGGGCAATCGGATAACGGTGCACGATTTGAAAAAGTAAGTTGCAAGGATTTTATAGCCAACCTAATTACATTATCTTTGATCCTATCAGCAACAAATCACGCACACTTTCATTGGAGTCTCGCTATAATTACACGAACATTGCACTCTCTCCGGATGGAAGCCTGCTGATCGCTGTCAACGAGCAGGGCGATGCTCAACTCATCAGCATGATGTCCTGCACGGTGATACACAGACACAAATTCCAAACTGGCGTGCAGTGCATCTGCTTCAGTCCCGACGGCAAATATTTTGCCGTGGCGCGTGAGAATTTGGTGCTCATCTTCTGCGCACCTGGAGAAATCACCGGAGAGTACAATCCGTTTGTGCTGAAACGAAGCTTCCTCGGTGGCTATGATGATGTTACCTGGCTGGATTGGTCGTCTGATTCTCGGTTACTGGCCATTGGCTGCCGTGACAGCTCCACAAAGATCTGCGCTGTCAACTACACAACGAATTTCCGCACCTACAACTTAAGTGGGCACACAGACGGCATTGTGTCCTGCTTCTTCGAAGCCAACAGCTTACATCTCAACACAATCAGTCGGAATGGACAGCTGTGTTTGTGGGAATGCAGTTTGGCCCCATCGGATTTGGAGAATGCAGAGAAACCAGAGGTGCCAGCGCCAAAAAGCCGGAGGCTAGAGCAAAAAGACTCGGACAATGAATCCGAAGACGATGTGGAAAACGTGGTAGAGAAGCAAGCTTTAAAAGAAGACTCGGCAGCTATCGCCCACGATGTGAATGAACTGAAGGACGAGGCAGTCAAGAAGATGCATCCTTTCTTTTATAAGAAGCTGGCCCGACACTATCTGGCTGATGAACCACGCAAGGAGCAAAGGGATGCCCAGTTGACGGCAGCCAACTACAATAGGCGCACCAAGGTATTGGTTGTGGCCTTCAGCACCGGAGCATTCTACCTATACGAGCTGCCCGATGTGAACATGATCCACTCGCTGAGCATTTCCGACTATCCCATCTCGGCGGCTATGTTCAACAGCACTGGTGATTGGGTGGCCTTGGCGTCGCGTGAGATCGGACAACTCTTGGTCTGGGAATGGCAAAGCGAGCAGTATATCATGAAGCAACAGGGCCACAGTAGCGAGATGACATGCATTGCCTACTCCTCCGATGGCCAGTACATTGCCACTGGCGGTGAGGACTCCAAGGTGAAGCTGTGGAACACCCAAAGCAGCTTCTGTTTCGTCACCTTCAGTGAGCACACCAGCGGTGTGACTGGCATACAGTTCAGTAGGAACAAGAAGTTTTTGGTCAGCAGCTCCCTCGATGGCACAGTGCGTGCCTTTGATGTCATCAGGTAGGCCATACCCAGTACCCAGCTCTAAAAGAATTCGATATCTAACATATATTCGTGTATATAGATATCGCAACTTTAGGACCTTTACGTCACCGAGTCCCGCGCAATTTTCTTGCGTCGCAGTGGACAATTCCGGTGAGTTGGTCGTGGCAGGTGGGCAGGATATCTTCGACATATTCCTTTGGTCGGTGAAAACGGGCAAACTGCTAGAGATCATCAGCGGCCATGAGGGTCCAGTTGTCTCGTTAGCTTTCTCGCCAGTTGCCACATCATCCACTCTGGTTTCCGGCTCTTGGGACAAGACAATCAAGATTTGGAATTGCCTGGAGAGCAACAGCGAGCATGAAACTATTGACGCTGTCTCAGATGTCACAAATGTGACATTCAGTCCCAGCGGTGAAGAGGTAAGAGGGAACAATGCCGCACCTAAGTCATTCTACAATACATTCCAATTCAGATTGCTGTGGCCACTCTGAGCGGTAACATAACCATTTTTGACATCAAATCTGCCAGCCAAGTGACCAGCATAGAGGGACGCAATGATCTGAGCAGCGGTCGCATGGAAACCGATGTGATAACAGCCAAGAAGAATGCCCAAGCCAAGTGAGTGGCAGATGAGCAGTGGAAATCGTTCGAGCTTCAATTAAAATCAATTATGATTCCAGTTACTTCTCTACCATTGAGTACTCTGCGGATGGAGAGTGTCTGCTGGCTGCCGGAAAGTCTCCCAATATTTGTATATACCATGTGAAGGAGGCCATCCTCCTCAAGAAATTCCAGATCACTCAGAACCACAGCTTAGATGGCCTGAATGTAAGCATTTTCCGCCAGCACTTTGATCCATTTAAATGTATCCTTTGCTACTCTTTAAATTAGGATTATATCAGTCGTAAGCATTTAAGCGAGTTCGGCAATATGGCACTGGTGGAGCAACGCGAAGAGTTCGAGGGTGGAAAGGTTGCCATTCGACTGCCTGGTGTACGCAAAGGGGACATGTCCTCCCGCCGCTTTCAGCCCGAGGTGAGAGTGTTCTCTGTGAAGTTCTCGCCTACTGGTCAGGCTTTTGCCGCTGCTGGAACTGAGGGACTCTGCATCTATGCATTGGATAAGGGTAATCTATAGCTAAACGATTTCAAATTGTTTTCCTCTATTTTCACTTCGTTCCGTTTCCCACTCCAGGCGTTGTCTTTGATCCGTTTGACTTGTCGCTGGAGGTGACGCCCAAGGCGGTCCATGAGTCCCTTAAAAAGCTGGACTTTACAAAGGCGCTGGTTATGTCCTTGAAGCTAAATGAACCCAATTTGATTGCTTTGGTGGTGGAGCGTGTGCCGTACAGGGATAGTAAGTAGAATGCTAAATCGTTTTTCATACTATTCATGGGCCAGTCCTTGTCAGTTGGGCAACCTTCGGCCTTGCCGCGTCTAAAAATAGCCGCGACACACTCACCAGAGGCGGTCGCCATTACCCTGACTCCATTTTTCGATCGAATGTGCAAATTTGCACTTTTGCTGTGTTAATAAACAGTTTCAAGGCTCTCTCGCTTCGCCTTGGTTAATAACCCCTTTGCAATACCTTCCCCCTGCACACACATATGTACTATAAATCGCCGTAAACTGGCCGTAAACTGCTCTGCCATCTGCCAGCACGTGTCTGCATTGCATGCATATGGAGTGCTGTGCTTGTATATTCATGCCAATATTTTGTAACTTCCTCCTTACAGTCGAACTAGTCTGTGCGGATCTATCAACAGACTTTGCCCAGCGCTTGTTGCAGCAATTGGCTCGCCTCTTGCAGTCCACGCCACACATTGAGTTCTATCTGCAATGGAGCTGCTGCCTACTGACACAGCATGGAAATCAGGATGGCGTCTTCCAGCACACTGGCCTGCTGGCCCTGCATGAAATCCTCTCCAGAAAATATGAAACCCTCAATAAAATGTGAGTATATCCTTGCCAGAGAGAGAGAGAGACAGCTCTTAGCCAATTTGAGTGATTACTTTAACATACTTACAGCTGTGACTATAACAAGTACACATTGAGGGTTCTCCTGGACAGGGCCGATAAGTTGGATCAAGAGAATGAGGGCAACAAGAGTACCAATGACGGGGACAGCGATGATGATATGCTGCTTATTAGAACAAAAGAGGATAGTTCATCGCAGATGCAGTTTAGCGACGAGGAGGAGAGTGCCACCGAATCCGAGGATGATGAATAGAGAATCCTTCTTTTTGATTGTGTTTAAATGCAATTATTAGTTTGTTTGTTAAATGTACGCCACTTTTATTTTATTAAGAATAAATTTAAAGCTTTTCCTAAAACCCTAACCGAGAGCTCACCGACCTATGATCAGCTTAGTGAACACTGCAACTTAAGAGATGGAAAGGATAAACATACATAGATATATATTTACATACATACATATATGTAAACGTAACTGGCATAGCAGATAAATCTTAGTTAAATATGTATATTTTTTTAATGTTAATATTCTGATGTAATGTATTTACATTGCGTCTGTATTTTCATATCAAATATAAACTCGATTTAGCTTAACAATAAAACACATACATATGTATGTGTGTATATGTTTAGGGGTAAACCTGCCTGGGTGCGGTTGGTTTATAGAAATTGTATCGAATTAGTTTTATAAAAGCCACAGCTCTAATGCTTGCATAAAAATACGCTATAATGGATAAATAATTCTAAATATGTATGTAAAAATCTCTAAAAAGCGTTCACTGTTCTTCCACTGTTAAGTTATTTACAATCCAAATATCCTTAAAGGCCATTTTTATTATCTCCTTAAAGCACCAATGCAATTTCTTGGCTGATTTGCCTAAGCCTAATACAAAAGTTCAATTCAAATATCTCTGCTAGAAAATACTCGTAGCTGTCTCGTTCTGTAGCATTTTGAAACATACTAGGTATGTACATACAGCCAGATCTGATTTCGATCAAGTATATATATATATGTATATATTGTCACTAGCACAGTGATATATATTCATTTTCCAGCTTATTTATTTGTAAATGTGTGTGCTGAGACTAAAGAAATTAAATGTAAGGCCAAATCATATAAATGTATTAGGTAGGTTGGACAATTTTCGGGGCATGCTGGAGCAGCTGAAGCATACTATATTTAGTCGTTGTTCTGTGAGAAGTGAGAGTGAGGGGTGTCCTTTGTAGCATAGATTAAAATTAATGTGAAACTAAAATTATCGTTAAATATAAGATAAGTTTTATACAAAGCGAATACTCTACTCCAAAATGAATCAAGTATTCTCCGTGAGTGAGCAAATTGTCGATAACTTAGTTATAAATATATATGTATTGTATATATTTCGTACATAGTACAGTGTGTCCCATATAGGAATAGCCGATAATTCTAGCTGCTCTGCCTCTGCTGCCAATTACTTATATAGGTAACTGTAGTTTTTCACTTGTTTGGTTGTACTTCGATGATAGATTTTTGCGGTTTAAAGACTCTTTGTGCGTCCTCAAATCTTCCATTCAATTTGTCAGATTTTCCCATTGCCTATTGTGTTTTTAACGGAGTCCAGACATATGCGGTCTGGAGCTCCCCAAGTCCTAGGACGACTTCATCAGCAGTATCGGCCAGTACAGGAGAACAAACACAAAGAAGAGTATGGGAAAGACAGCGCGGGAGACCTTATCGATCTCCCGCCACATTATCTTCTCGACGCCCGTATCCGTGTCCGTCCATGCCACCGACAGGAGGCTCTGCCGTCGGGCCGGCTTCGGCGGGCCCCCATTGCCCTGTAGCGATGTCTGCGAAATAGGGCGGCTTGACAGGTGCACAAATTCCGAAAAAAAAAACAAAAAAATTATCTAAAAAGATAATCACTCACCTGTCCGGGCGTCGTGGGCGTTTGGGTCGCTTTACGCGAGCGCACGGCTCCGCCCTCCCAGCTAGCAACCGTTGCACATTGACCTTTTTCCATGTTGCTGATGCGCTACGCGATACCGATTCGGGACGATAAGAAGGTGGCATTATTTATTAAAGCGATATCCTCAGCTCTGCCTTACCATGGGCAGTACCTTGGGTATGCGGTTCACCTGGTACTGGTACTGTACGTCCAGCACTTTGACCACAACGAACTCGGCCAGGGCTGCGAACACAGACAGCATGCAGCCGGCCATCCACAGGTCCAGCGCCTGCAACAGAATTTTATGTTAGCCTCCGTATTCTATTTGCTAGCTAACGTATTATTTGCCACCTTCACATAGGCCACGGGGGGTATGTCCGCCCCCGTGAACATGGTGACCAGCGTCAGCATGCAGGTCACAAGCAGCGTGACCCGTCCCGGTATGGCGTCTAGTCCGAGCCAGAAGCTGAACCAGGAGAGCATCACCACCAGCGAGGAGGGGGCAAACGTCTGGATGAGATGATGGCCGATCTGCCGCTCAAAGCGGAAGTACACGGTGAGGCGCGAGAAATTGCCGACCTTCTCCGGCATGTAGCCATCGCTCGTCTCCAGCTGCAGGGGCTGGCCAAGATTGTACTGCAGGAGCTTCAGTTCGGGATTGAGGGTCACACCCGAGTTCGACCAGCGGAGCTTCACCTTCTGGTTGTTCGATGAGACTTCATTGCGTGAATTGTGAATTGAATTGCGTTAGGGGCTGCTCTTGTCTACGGGAAATGGGAGGGGCTACCACTCACAGCTCTCAATGTGGATGGGACACACTTGGATGTCCATGGGGTACAGCTGGAACTCCATCTGGCAGGCAATGATGGCATGCATCCGCGCCGCATAGCGCACCGTCTTATTCTTGTACAGCGTGACCGATGTGAACTTGTGGGTCAGCGTCGCTATTTCTACAACGAGAAGACATCGAGAAGACGTTGCAGAGATGCGGAACAAATGGGGTTTGATTAGAACTATGGCATTGGAATCGATAGACTCATTTTTCTTTGCGTTGCACATTTCTGTGGTTGAGTGGTTGATTGTTTGATTGTTTTTGGTTTATTGGCAGGTGCTCGTGTTCGCCTAATGTCTAGTTTAAGCGCAAGTTTCTACTGGGGAGGAGTGGAGTGCGGTGTCGGTTCTACATAGGATAAATAACTCTTTCGTGGTGTCTTTACCCCACCACAGATGATTCCAGAGCTACCACCAATCTAAACCTGGCACGTCATTGCTTCCATTGCAAAAACTATTACGAGTATCCTCCAATCGTTATTTATATACTATACTATATATATATACTATATTATACTATGCACTTATCGAACTGGGATCGTTTGTGTGTCCATATATTATCAATGACTATAAAATGGGTAAATTATTTATTATTGGCTTAATTTCGAAGCCTACAGTGAGTCTAATTGTCTTCTTTCGACTTTTGATACTTAATATTGAACTACAACGAGTTACATTGTCGTTGTTTTCTATTAGAATGAGATCACTGATCAAGTATCATCCATTAGCCATCCAATAACCACACTAAACGCAATACTCTAACAAAATTTAAACAATATTTGTATTTTAACGCCACTGAGGAGACTCCATTCAGACGTTTAAGCTTTTCTTTCTACCCTTGATTAATTGAAGCTCGGCCTTCTGCAGTGATAAAACAGGCAGTGGCAATTACTCTGGAAAATAACGTGCCAGGATGGAATAAAGCTTGACCGATTCGCAATCGATTTTTGTCCTTTAAATGTTGACAATGGCAACCAAAAAAAAAAACGAAATAGAAAACGAAATAAAAAACCACATTCCCGTACCCTTCCCAAACAAAGTACAGCCGTGATTTCAAGGTGAGAGATCTAATCAGGACTGGACTGCGAGTGCAACTGCAAATTTTCGTTTTTAGTTTGGAGCGTGTGGGTGAGAGAGAGAGAGAGAGAGAGGAAGGTTGAGAGTTCTGAGCTCGGTGTGGTTGGAGTTGGAGTGTCCTGGGTGACCATGGCATTGGAAGTGGAACTGGTGGGAATGGATTTCGTGCGTGCAATGAGACGGCACGTGGGCGGAACTAGTAGAGTAGTATCTCCGGATGGGGGGGCAATTTTACGATTACGATTACGTACGAGTATAAGCAAACGAAATGTACAATTTTTGGTTCACAAATGGGAATATGGGGATATGGGGATGCCAGTATGGGTATATATGTATGTACATATACAAAAGGTATATACTAATAAATCTTTATACATTAGATATCATAATAGTATACTGAGAATGTTGAATATACAGATACAGATTGTATATGGATAAGATATGGATTGATTTCGATTTGGATGGCTTTTGGCATAACACAAAATTGTAAACACAGATCTAGATTCATTGTTGATATACTTAAATCTTTGTTCAGATGAAAGTTTCTCGAATCTCTTTCACCCTTATTGCGTAGCATAGAAGTGGACGCCACATAGGGACTTCCATATCCTACATATTGTATGTATGTTGAAGTATTGTTCAGTATTGTTCAGTTAGTTTGGATGGAAACGATTAGTCGTTAGAGAAATCAACGGAACGGATTAGGAAAAACAAAACAGATACAAAATAATTTGTTACTATATACAAATGATCATCCAAAGTTATACGATTAGATTACATGTCTAGAGTCTAGATTCTAGACACATATACGAGTAGTAAGTAGTTGATATTGTCCGCTGGACAAATGTGCACGAATGGTAATTGTTTTTAGATCCTACAGACGCACACACAAAGGCATACCACATACGTATGAGATTTATTTATTTAAAAAGCTTTAAGAAACGTACCGGCTATCTTTGAATTGAGAAAATACGGATCCGGCTGCCAAAAATTCTCAAAGACTTCTGGAAGCAGTGTCACATAGTCGTCGCCCTCCTCGAAGATGTCGTCGGGTATCTCCAGTCGTGACTCATGCCAGCGCTGATGTATAAACATGTCTACTCTGAAAATATATACAGTATTGCTATATGATCCATTATGGTCTCCCGATATTTGAACTGGGACTGGGAACCACTTACCTAAAGTCCATATCCTCTACGTTAATTGAGTTAATATCTACAACAAATATGCTAAAGTCTACTATCACTGGGGATCCCTTCTTCGAGGGCGGTCGTATCTCTGCAATAAATCATCAAGGCGATCGCTGATTATCTTCGACTTGGATGTGAACTCACTTAGCATAGAAACAATGGTCACAAAAGCACTTCCCCATAAATACCAGCAAACAAATAAAAAACATAATAAAAGAACGTCCGTCTCGTGCGCAAATTCATTTTCGGGGCCTCTCTGTCGGTACGGCGCGGGTTCGCTCCCTAGGAAGGAAACACACATCACACCACACAGCCACCTCGGACTCTCTTCAAGTTCAGGGCCAGTCTACGGCGGGGGGGTGGTGGGTTAATGGTAATGCGTATTACACAACCAGGTAAAATCGATAGAAATAAAGGTGTTGATTAGCTGCCCCCTCAAATGTTTTCTTCAGAGGAAGACCGCCCAACTCGGCCGGGAAAATGTTTTGGTAAATTATTCATTCCCCTCCAAGCGGATTCGATAAGATTTCCGCATTCGATTATATTCCGTTTAGATCTTGAGGGTTCTTTCAAAATTTACCAGCGAAAAGCCATTGTCGCCGGTAAATGTTATTTTGATTTGAATCGATCGTAATTGTGGATGACGTCAAAGACCTAAATTGTGGACTGGACTGAGACGGAGAGTGTGGAGCAAACGTAACCGTAACCCAGTATGGTATGCCGTAGACGGAGGCCCTGAAAATTACCGCGTCACGAATGGAACAAAACCGTGAAGAAAAACCGAACACGCATATCCATATCCTGCGGTGGCTGTTCGGTTGGTTCATGGTCTCATGGCTTCAAAGCAAACAAATCAGAAATCACACAAAAAGAATGGCGAACAAAAAAATCCATGCAATTAAAAACAAAAGGAGAAGAGGAAAAAATCCCACTCACACTCACACTCTCAATATTTAAGTGGAAACAGAAACATCAGACACCCAGAGGGGAGTACGAAATTTAACCCATTACAATTGTACGAATAATTTCAGTTTAGGTGGGGTGGAGTGGTTGCTGGTGGTGTCGGTCGGGTCGGCCTCGTGGACTGGTTTAACTTACCCTTGACATAATTAGGCGGAAGAACCACTCGCGGCTTTGCTGTGTAGTTCACATGGGTCTCCGTGGCTTCGCTCAGCCTGCAAAGTGAGCAGCAAACAAAAACAAAACAAAAAACAAAGAAAAAAGAAAAAAAATTTCAAATACAATCCTTTATATGGAATCACGCCCAGGGGGTGGGGCAGAGGACTAAGGCTCAGGCTCTGCCCTGATGGCTGCCACATGCAACTATTGCAAACTTTGTCAATTTGAGTCTGAATTTGAAATTAACTTCTTTCGTGTTTGCTGTTCTAGGTGGGCTCACGGTGCGGTGCGGTGTTGGTGCCTTCTCTACTGTTGTGTTCCGTTCTGTTCTGCTTGACTTTGGCTTCTGTTTAACTGTTTTGTAAGCGAATTATATTACATAGTTTCCTTCCTATTTGCCGTTTTGATATTTTTCCAATCGGATGTAGTACTCATACGAGTACGAGTATGCCGTGCAGGATTCTCATTTGACTGGCGTGGGATCCTAGTGACCTTGCTTCTGGGTGATTTGTCAAAAGCGATTTTGCATTTGGCAATGCTCATCATAACCATATGAAGGTCCCATGAACTGAATTCACAGCGAGTCTATCCAGTCTTGGGGGGGGGCATGGGGTGTGGTGGGGTGGGCTGTGGTAGGATAGGCGAAATTCGAGCTTAACTTACCATATCAATATGAATCCCAATCCAACCGATATGAATGCGTTTCTGTTGAGTTTATCGAGCATGATGTTGGGGCGACGGAACGGGAAAGGAATTTTTGTAACTTCAAGCCTCAAATCATCTCACTTTACACCGACGTGGGAATTTCATAATTCGGTCTCTGTAACACAATATTTGAACATAATTTTCATATTCATTTTTGGTTTAGGTACTGGTTTTTGTTTCAACTGAACTTTCGATTTCATTACGCTTAATACGGGAGTTACCACGTTGTCTGTTATATCTCGTACATTATATTTCGATTGATTTCTTTTAAGTTTTCTTTACGTGTTTTCACTTTTGGTACCTTTTGATATGTACATTGTGCTACCACTCTTGGCAAAGGGGTAAGGGTAAGGAAAGAGCGTTTTATTATAACACCGAGCCTCAGGATCGCTTCAGAAATTATGTTGAGATAGGATCAAAAGTGATACAACAACAGCAGGCCAATAAAGCCACCTCCTTAGGCCTACGTTGAATAGTTCGAGCCGAAATATAATTTGCAAAACGTTGTGGCCCCTTGATCCTATCTCAACATTTTTTGTTAAACCGATCCGAAGTTTTTTTATCGCTCTTACATTTCCCCCCATGCCAAGGGTCGTCCCACAAAATATTAATTTATTATTCGAGTTAAAAAAATGTTTGTATCATGTTGACTTTGTTATTAGTTTATAGAAAAAAAAATTAACTTGTAAAAAATCGTTTTTTCTATTTTAATTTAAATTTTTTCTTCCGTTTGGTTAATATTACCGAAAAATCGTTACAAACGTGTGATAATAAAAATCATTATTTTTTTTAAAGTAAATGACTATGAAATAAAAAACTTGTTATGAACTTTTGTTGGAAATTAATTTAGCGACAACAAAAAATACAAATTAGACGAATAGGATAACACATTGCGACACTTTATTTTCGAACATACAAATATTTGTAGCAAATTGCACTTGCAGCAGGACACGAACCCGAACGAACACTGAACAAAACAAAACAAGAGAAGGGAAGGGAAGATCGTAGCTGAGTCCTTGTTGATTGATTCGAGACAGGTAATTCCCGTTGTCTTGCCTCCAGCTCAGTTTGTTCTAAACTCAAGACAGTCGAGCTTTGCTCGCGAAAGTGTGCTCATCTAGATATGTATAAGTATCTATATACATACATACATATCTGTCTACATACCATGCAAATACCAGTACGAGAGTGTGCTCGCATCCATGATATGTAGATTCCTCCACCGAGAGGGTTTTCTGTGTGTGGGCTGGTGCTGGCTGGCGTATTGCGATTGCGGATAGCGGCCGTAAGCTGATACCCAGCGATATGTGTGCTGTGTGCCGTGGTATTGGCGGAGGAGAAGCAAGAGCAACGCCAGCGGTCAAGGCATTGGAAGTGTAATTTCCCCAGCAGTGGGGCCCGAGCCACAGCACACTTCTCGCCAAGATTCAATTGAATCGCGTGCCAATTTTACTTAAGTCCGGTGCGAGGAGACATGGCTTACATTTATTTATCCGCCTGGCGATACAGCTCAATCTATGCCCCTACTTATGTATCCGATAGATGGACGCATAAGCAGCCAGATATCAAATATATATAGAGAGCAAAAGAGAGAGAGAGAGAGAGGAACACCTGATGATCAATTACACACTTCCTGACTTGGCTTGGCTTGGCTTGTGTGATTGGTTCAAGCAGACATAATTGCCTGGACTGGACTTCCATTTCCTATAAATTACTTTCTGTTTCTCACTCAACTCAGCTCTTATCTTCCTGTTCTCTGACATTGACACTGGCAATGGTCGTGTGCTCAAGTATTTTTCGTTTCGCAAATTAAAAATTCCACTTCCAGATCTGGACAGCACACTGATGCACATACTCGTATGTACTACTCGGTAGTATGTAGATCGTCAGATGAACCATATCCGGGCTAAGCCCAAGCCGCACACAGCAAGCAAATGGTGCGGTGTAGACTGTAGGCAGGCGACACTCAGATGCGACACTTTTGTCAGATGTTTTGTTTTGTCAGATATAGATCTTAGATGGGGGAGTGTTTAAGTCATTTTCACTATACATATAACACGTATACGTATGCCAAGCTTGATGACAAGTTGGTCTTTTTATTATATGTTTAAATATTTGGGCTGCTGGTTAGTTTTTGCTTTGCTTTGATTTGATTTTGCCACTAATTTAATCAGCAACAAAAATCATTTATTTCCATTTACACAAGTACTGGTTGAGCTCGGTTCGGTTCGGTTTGGTTCAAAAGATCCGCACAGAATTAAAACAAATGAATTTTTAATTATATAAAAGACATGCTTCAGTCTTGGCAGCCCATGGCAGACTTCCTGGGGACTTTCGATTATGCATTGGCAACGTTGAAACAATTGCATTAATTATGTAGTTAGTGGCATTTATGAATATTTTCTATTGCGGTTTCATTCCTAGAAAGAGCCTGCAATTACACGACTTTAACGCTTGACTCACGCGAGCTCCGGCTCTTCACTCTTCACACTCCACTCTCGCCATTCCACTCCACTCCGTTTCCTTTAATCTAAATCTAAATATTATGGGCAAATTACCGCGTTGCGGGAACGACGCGCGCCCGAATCCGTTCGCCTTCGTTCAGGAACTAAAACTGAACTCAACGGCCACAAAAAATACGCGAATTTCTTGCCGCTTTCCTTGCCAGCTTTAATACGAAATACAAAAATAAAAAAAAAGTCCCCCAACGCCGCTCGACCGTTCAATGGAGACTCAGGCACGACAACCAACTGTAACGGGTTTCCATTTACAAGGAGTTTGGATTGGCTTGGCTTGGCTGGTGGCGGAAGGGAGCATGAGCACGAGTGCAGTTTAGTTGCAAATTGGTGTTGGATTCCCATGGAAAAGTGTTTGGAAATTTCCAATCTCTCCATTACATTACATTACGTATTTTGGTGAAGGGATCAACTATGTACGTATGTAAATCCTTTGTATAATTAATTGTCCATATATGAGTATGCGAGCATATGTAACTGCCATGCGAAAAACTGATCCTGACTGACGTTGGTTTTTCCAATGAAGTGCATGCGATTTGACTTGACGTATTCCACAAAATAACCAAAACACTAAACAACTGCCACTGCCACTGCCACTGGCACAGGCCCATGAACGGTGTCTAGGCTGGTGCTGCGGTGACCCCTTCCTTCCACTAACTATGGTAACAGCCGAGCGCTAAAGGGCTGGAAACAAGTACTTACTTTCCTGGCCCCCAGGCCCCATGCCTCGTGGGAAATTTCTATATGGCAATGTAAATACAAATCGCGTTTGTAGGACTAACTATAATATACAAAGACAATTACACTCATGAGTACATACGACGGTATAGTATAGTGGATGGGATATGTGATATACCTACCATACAGATGTACAAATATACTATATGGAGACGACATCAGTCATGGTTGGTAAGGAAAAATGCCATTTTGTTATGGCATTCTTGTTTTTGTTCTGGAAACATTCGCAAAAAAAGCTGACAATGAAATGAACTTTATTTTATTTTCCTTTCGATTGTCTTGCTCTTGATTCCGTTTTATGTTCGGCTGTCGAGCTACATAGTTAGTGATTCGCGAATCGTCCGCAGGCTTTCAGCCAGTTTCAGAGCTGAGCTAATTGTTGCATGGCAGGCCCAGTCAAGCCGCTTGTTATCTGCCACTCTATCTTGGGGCATAGCTGGTTGGGTGTTCGTACTGTTACAGGAGAAAGCCAAGCCAATGCGGCATATCCTTGCTAGGGTATCTCTACAAAGCATAGCGTCTCGTATTACAGTTTTGCTTGGCACGCACAGCGTGGAGCTGGCAGCGCGTGTGGCGCTGATTAATGGCCAGCAGACAACTGACGATGACGCCAACCAAAGCCCGACATCCAGAGTCCAATTCCCCATCCATGCAAAAGCATACAATTCGTACAGTTTTCTATCAGCCTTTCTCACAATTATCAGAGGCAACAGCTTACGAGAGCCACTGGCACAAAGGATTAACGACCGGTTGGCGCAGGGGCTGAAAGAGACACGTGGCAGCGAGTGACTTATACTCCTCATAGAGATATCACTTTATACATACGCCATGTGTACAATATATACTACAATTCACATTTAAACCTAAAGAACTGAGCTGGCAACTTAAGCTAGACAATTGTGGCGCCCTGCTGGTTGGTTCGCTGGTTGATCTTGACGTGAGTTTGCCGCTTCTTCTCATCCTTGAAGGCCTCTGTGTTGGCCTTCTTCTCGATGCGTCGCTCGTTTCGATAGTCCTTTAGCAAACGCTTTCTCTCCTTCTTCTCCTCGACGGACTCATCCTTGGGGCGTATGGACAGAACGCTTAGCGTCGAGAGCACCGACTTAGCGCACAGCGACTTTGGGCCCGTGGCAGCGTTCGAGTCATCAGCCAAATTGGCCAGAGCTTTGGCTGTGAGCTGGCCATCAACGCCGCCGCGCAACACATTGGCGGGCAGTCCGGTTTTGGGATCGATCTGAATGGGAGCTGGGTCTGTACTGGCGCTGGAGCGACGGCTACGCCTTGGCTCGTCAATCAGCTTTGGATGATTGTAGATATTGGAGTAGGTTGACAGAATGGACTCACAGTCCCATTTCTTTTGCTTGGGATCATCCACTTCGTATTCGACGAGCTCCTCGGTGGGGTCCTCCTCGCCCTCGACCACATTCCGGTACTTTTCAATGCGCTCACGATCCCACTCTTTGTTGTAGTCGATAGTCTTGTTCTTCTTTTTGAATTCCTGGAAGCATTGCATGACGACCGGGTGCTTCTGGTGCCAATTGCCTTCGATATCTTCCAGGGCCAGGTCCCCCAGCTCGGGATCATCATAGCTGGCAAAGAACTTTTCGAAGCGGTCGTCCAACAAAGAGAGCTGCTCATTGCGACGAATGACACTGGACGACATGGAATATTCTGTGAAGCGAGACTTGACCTCCTCGTCATCGAAACGACGTTCTCGCATCAAAGGTGCCAGGCGATCCATAAGCTCATCCTCATCTTCGGCCTCATTCAAATTGTCGGAATCAAAGTCCATGTCCTCATCACCGCCCTCTTCCTCGTCAGTCCAATCCTGCTCCTCGTCATCTCCATCACCGTCGCCCATCGCCTGCATAACAAAATCATCCTCAAGCTCTTCATTTTCGCAATCGCTATCCAGTGCCGCCACCACATCTGGATCCCAGTCCAAGCGCAACGATTGGGGAGCTGCCTTGTTCAGCATTCCCTCGGTCTCCTCAAACTCGCTGGCAAAAACCGAACTGGGCAACACTAGTTTGGGGGCCGTCGATGGCTTATCGTCCTCCTGGTGCTTCTTGGCATGGTTTGGATTCTCCATGTACTCCCAGACCACATCGTTCTCACGTTTCTTCATGTGCTGCAAGTAGTCGTAGTCGTCATCAAAGTGAATGCCGAACTTCTTCTGCTCCTCCTGACGCTTGGCGGGATCCACTGGTGCATCGTCCTTCGATTTGGCCTGCGACTCTCGCTGCCTCGCAGCAGCCTCCAAGAGCACACGCTGCGGCGCATTTTCGTCGGTGACAAGTGGATCGTGTTGACTGCGGTGGACCAAATGAAAGGTTACTGCCTTCTTGCGGTCAATGTATGGTTTCTTGCCCTTTACCTAAAGTACGCAAACGCAGTTATTAGTGTATTTCAATTGGGGGGCTCTGATTTAGGGCGGTGCTCACCATTTTAGATTGTTTTTATTAAATTTTTTGTCAACAGAAATACATGTGCTGTGTCCAGTGTGACCGGCGGATGGATATACTGAATATACTGAAAGACCCGTTAGGTATTTCTAGTAACGGTTATGGTAATGTCGCTCTGCTGGTATACGGTCACATACTACAGCGTTCAGTGTTGACTAATACGATATTTTACTGAATGTGTGGTTTAACCGTTACGCGTTTATGGGCGAAATGGCCAATATATCTCAATTTAATTAAAAATTTCGCTCATGGCAGAATCTTTTAAGACCTTTGTTCATTACATTAACCGTTTATCCTAGCTGTGGGACTGTTTTTTCCTTGTCACTGGTCCACACACACACACACTGGAAACTGGCTCCTCGACCTTCCCACTTTAGCGATCGGTGGGCCAAAAACCTTCAACAGTCCCGACTCGGCATCGAATCGGTTCGAGTCTCGCCTCAATGTAACGTACACTTTTTCAAATTATTTCCTAATTTTTTATATTTATTTTTATTCATTTCTTTCTTTGTACAAACATCAACAAAAAAATGCAATTTTTTTTTGAGTTTTATGGCAGAAGTATAGTGAAATGTGATGGAAGATAAGTAGTGTAGGAGTTCAAAGGATAAGATAATATATTGGTTGAATATTAAAGTTGCTTTTGAGATGCTTGTGTTGGGTGATAAATTACTTTTTAGTGTATCATATAGAGGCTGTGTTGGGGGTGGTAGGGCAGTCCGAGCCAGACTAGACCAGGGGGTAGCTGGAAGCAGAGGCAATGCCGCACTGGTTCTCCTTGTTGCGCGCCATCTTGATGAAGCCCTTGTCGCCCCAGGTGGTGCCCCAAGAGTTCTTCACCAACCAGTAGTCCAAGCCGGACTCGTCGGTGCCGAAGCCGACAACAAGAACGCCATGATCCAAGTTCTGGGGATCGCACTGGGGTTCGTTGTAGACGCCCTCGGAGTACAACTGGAACGACTCGTGAGAGGCATCGATGGCAACGGCGACTGGTCCAATGGTGGCAACTGCCTCCGCCATCTTCTTCTCATTGCCCTGGGGAATGTCAACGAATCCGCGGTCTGTGGCTCCGATCGCACCCTTGTTGAAGTGGCAGGAATCATCGATGGCCTCATAGGGATAGGACTTCTCGGTGTCGATGCCGCCGTTGTCCTTGATGTAGCGGAAGGCGTTGTCCATGAGACCACCGTTGCAGCCATTGTTGCCATACTTTGTCGAGCAGTCCACCAAATTCTGCTCGGATAGAGACACCAGCACGCCCGACTTGCGGTAATGCTGCCCCTCCAAGGCACCAGTACTGGAGAAGGCCCAGCAGCTGCCGCAGTGGCCCTGATCCTTGACATCGGTGACAGCGCCCTTTGTGCGCCAGTCCACTGACTTGGGCAGGGTCACATGCTCCGGCGAGATGAAGGTCACACCCTTGAAGCTCTCATCGGCAGCACTGCAATAAAATATTCATACATAAGCTCTTTAGTCATCTCCGGAGGGTTCACTATTTCTTACCGCAGCTGCTTGTGCAGGGTGTAGTTGAAGCCGTTCATCGTGGTGTAGAACTCGTGGTGCAGCATATCGGCATACTTGTTGACGGCCATCTTGAAGCTCACCTCGCCGGTGGCATATCGCTGGTTGTGCTTGGCGATCTTGTGCTTGTTCTCATTGAAGATCTTCATCCGGAAGCGCTCCTCAGTCTCATCCTGGTAGTTCTTGTGGTGCTCCAGCTGTGGATGGTAAGCACATACATACATAGTTCAATATACACATACTCGTATGAATGTGTTCCCCTTATCGCCAGGTTTCCCCCCCTTATCGAAACAATGTGTTAATAAATCAATATTCAAGTCCTGATTAGATACGACAGTTTGTAGGCCTTCAGCCTACAGCTCCCAAGTCGAATGCATTTCGACTTTTGGGTCTAGTCGAAAATGTAGAAAATGTATAAAATCTGGCATTTACGTAAACTCGATTTACGATCCACCCACCTCCCATCTCTCAGCCATTAAATAGTTTCCAATCTGTAGATAACCCTATCACGAACCAACTAACCTGGCACGAGCTGTCCAAACTGTCAGCGGTTAGCCAACAACAGTAGCAGAAGCAGAGGCCATAAACTCAACTTGGCCATTAAATTCTTTACGATTGGTGTTAATGTTCCAGGTAGTAAACGGACACTGGAGAAGACTTCAGCATGGCTAAGAAGTATGCATTCTGTTCCACGTATATCTATCGCTGCATTGGTCCTCGACCCCTGGGATAATGCGTTTCGGGGGTTGTTTATTTTCTAGCCCGCATGTTTACTCACAACGGAAATAGAACGGAAATTCTACAAATGATAATGTGAAAGAGCAGGCGATTCAAATAGAACTCGAACCACGGATATCTATTACAGACGGCACAAACAGCTTTGTTTGCAGTGGAGCGAACGTGACAGATCTTAAATGAATATTTGTATAGCGATAAATTCAGTTAAGATAATGAAAAAAAAATTACTTTTAGTTAGGGACGCACAAAGCCCAGCCCAAGAGTCAAATTTTCTCGGAACAGACATCAAGCGAATTACAGTGGGAACCATGCATAATCAAAACAGACAGCTTCACCATCATGGACCAGACAAGGCAACAATTGTCGCCCCGAATGCGGCCAGCCGGATGGCCACATGTCCATGTGAGTGCGTGTTTCGGATGGCTTCACTCATATAATTGACATAATTGATACGATTTTCAGACATGCATCTCCCCCATCCCATCACATCCCGTCCATCCATCCATTCCATAGAGTTCAAGTGGGCAAACCTTTTCACAGCCTAAATCGTTAACCGTCCATCGAATTTTGTTTTCTTTGTTATTTCGTTACTGCCATTGAACAACAGAGTGTCTAACACACGAGTCTCGACTTGTATAGCAAAATTCACACATTTTTATTGTATATTTTGTTAGAAAAATTAATGGCGAAAAAAAGATGAGCTTACAAACGTAGAAACCGTAATTAAATGCACGTGAATTATCTAAAGGTACCCGGCGGCGTATACACTCTGTATACTATGTACTATCTCTATAGTATAGGCAAGATCTGTGTCATCTCCGTTCTTAGTGGGTGCATATTGCATATATGCATATTTGCATATTGATCTGTTTATCTTTTAGCACTTTCACCCACCGGCTAAGACGAAATAGGTCTGCTCTCACTATCTGCTCCAGATCGATGCTACAGGTGCTCCATCTCAATTTCGGGAGTGCTAGCATCCCCTGACGTTTCCTTCCACTGGCTACGTTTTCGCATGATGTAGTAGAAAAGAAAGCCGTTCAGCACGAACATAACCACCACAATTAGTGTAGGCAGAACCACGTCTACTGTCACGTTCAGGTCATTCGGACTGCTACTGGCCATGGTTCAAATCGACTTCTTTGCGGTCACTTTTTCTTCCAATTTTATGTAATTTTCCGGCTATATATCTAACACGTTTTCGGTTATGCGCGTGCTTTTTGCTTGTTTGACGGTGGATGCTTTTCGTGCTCGGGCTCCTTTAATTTATTTTCCTCTCCCAAGTGGCTTCTGCTGTACCGTGCTGTACTCTGCTCTGTTCGCTCGGCCTGCCGCTTGCTGAGTGTCGGGCGAGAATAAATAATATAAATAGCAACCACCACCAAATGGTTGCCTGCTCTGAGAACACACACACACAGGCTCAGACATCCGTACGTACATAACACACAAAAAAAAATTCATGCGCGGCAGTTGGAGAGCAACAACTATTCCAGGTTGTTTGTGGGACGTACTTCGTATTATTCGTTTTATGCAGCGCGCGCAGAATGGATTCAAACCCGAACCGGTTTTCATTTTGGCAATTTGTATAGGCAGAGCGGATGATTTATAAGGATTTCATAAAATGTATGCAAACACAGGCCACACCAACCGGTTGGAGCACCTACTATATATCCGTGTGCGAAACACACATACATAGGTACTAATATCATTATCATTGCTGTCTTTGGCAAGTCAGCGAATTAATTTCCACTTGTCGCAAATTTCGGTGCGGTGCTTTTTTGTGCACTTGTCGCTAAATTTGGACTTTCTCTCTCTCTCTCTCTCTCTGGCACTTTTTGTTGTTAAGCGAGAGCAAAAAGCTCTGTTTTAATTCTTTGCTCCCGAACACAAACGAAAACAAAATGCCAATATGATAAGCGAAGCGATCCCGTGCGTCACGCGTCATTTCTGAGTTATCCCAACCATTCCGTTTCCATTAGATTAGTTAGTGCTGTTAGTGGAAACGCATTAAATAAAAGAATAATAGAAACCACATAAGTGTAAGCTTATCAGAGACAAAATGGCAGCTTTGCAACTGTAAATATGTAAATATGTTAATGTGCAAACCGCTGACTCTAGAACTTTGGACTATACAGAGATTAAAGTGTCGCTGACACGCGACTACAAACTGAAGCAATCCCATTTGAATTGCGCGTCTTTTTATTCTGCAACGGAACACAATCATGGGCAGCACTTTTTTTCTGAGTGTGACCATACGCCTCAAAGTGAACACGCTTATACAAATGATAGATAGATGGCGTTTAAAGTAAGGGAAAAATATCCATGGCCTTATCACACGATATCTGTAAAATGTATTTATAATTATACGCCCCCATAAAACAGCTAATGGCACATGTCAAGCCAGTACATTAATACTAATTTTTTTTTAAGTACATATGTACAGAAAGAAACAATTGTTTATTGCTTTACTCGAGTCGAAACCTTTCAATTGACTTACAGACTGATAAGGACTTAGATCTCCCAGTAGGGTACAGTCGCATTGCAAATCAATTGATATGCATGATAAGAGGACAGACTGTTTATGAGAAGGCGGGCGGCTTGAAAAAAGAAAACTGCAATGCAAATATTTTAAAACGGGGTAAGGGGAACAAGCCTGCCACAGATTAACAGTCAGAGTAATGGTCGCAATGTGGATTAGGAAATTATTGCGAAAAAATACTATAATGCATGAATGGGTCGTAGGCCGGCTTATCAGTGGCCCAGTCTCAGCTCCAGCCGTGGCTTATCGCCATCGGAATAGCCGGCGACGGCACCGCAGTAAAAGTAGGCGGAAAAATGTTCGCCTGTCAGATGACAACGTTTGCGGATGGGCTAAGCGGCGGTCATGTGAGCAAGCATGTGACTGAGTCCAAGACAAGCCTGGACTTATCTGTTGGGTTCTATATAGATGGTGCAGCCCCGTGCAGTGCATTCACTCGTGACTCAGCACGCCCTCGAAAGGCAACCACAATCGGGGAAAACATCATATGCAGAGAAAGACAATGCAAAAACAGTCCAACTATGCAAACAAAAGACCAAAAAGATATTAATCATCGCCACAAAGACCCTGCTACCTGTCACAAAACACTTGCTTAGCTCGGATTTCCTGGGTGACAAATCTCGATCAGAAAACGGTATGCACTCACCTTGAAGGCGCGCCATTCCTCCTGGATGACCTCGGTATAGGAGACGGCCTGCGCCACTGCCACCAGGGCCAGGAGGGGAAGAATATATGCTGTCCGCATTTTATATAATCTGTAAAATTTAACACAATTAGTAAACATCATTCAATCACGTGAAGCTGTCCAGCTGGGTTCCGGAGCAATTAGACACTCAGACAACATGTATTCGTTCGAGAGGATTTTACGGGTTTAAGTTAATAGCTTTTCAATTGTATGCTGACTAATAAAGGGGGGCGGATCGCTGAGCTTTCGGGGGAGTTTTGCTTTGTTTAGTTAGTTTAGTTTTCGAATTCGAACAATACCCGCTATCTAATCGGCCATTCCACTTTGGGCAGCTCTTTGCTGTCTCTGTGTGTGCGGTTTTTAAGAGTCTGGTCTGGGGTCTGGTCTGCCATATTTGTTGCAATTGTTTTTGCGATCTTGTAGCTCATTTTGAAAACGTGAGACGCATTTGATAAAAATGTTATTATTGTTGCAATCATTTGTGCCAAGTTCGAGGGCTACAAACTGGTTTTGGAATTGCTTTCAAGGTGAATCATCTACCCTAAACAGGTGTTGTAAATAACCAAACGGTAGGGTAGATAAAGCAAACAGAAGACAAATGGAAAACGAAAATAGGTCAAACACACAGAGAGGGGGGCAAAATCAAAGTGCGTCTGTTTGTTGAAACGAAGCAATGGCCGCCAAGCGCAACAAAAACTAAACAAAGAAGAGCTAAAGAGCAGCGCAACAGAATATGCGGAAGGGGGAAAAGAATAGAAAAAGAAACAACAAAGCAGCTGACGCTAGATGCTGCTGGAATGCATTATTTTTATTCCAATTAGTTGTTGACATCAACACACACATACTAAAGGGACTTGAAGGGGATAGAAAGTGCATGACGCAAGTTGTTTTAACAATTTCTCGAATCTGATGCTGCTGGAGGAGATTTCTATTTCACTTACCTCTCGAACTACGCCGCTAAAACCGCAACAAAGCACTGTACTGTTTATTTTATAAGCGACAATCACAATAAAATACTGCGAATTGCAATTATTCGAAATGTAATGCGTTTCACTAGGCACAATTAGCTCTGCACTCGAAGACTTTTTGTAGTTTAATAAATGTTAGCAGAATTGTTGCTCCGAGGAAATAACTGAAGTGTGTATATACCGAAATATACCGTAAATATACCGAGACAAAATCGCGCTTAGCCCACTGAACCCCTCTCTATTTACACAGTTGAAGACCCATTGTTAAACTGAGGAAAATTATACTGTTTGTAAATGCTCCTTTTAGCTCCATCCTCCTCCTTACTTAGAAAACAAAAATAACTACCGAAATCTTTCACCTGTAATTCGTAGAATATGTTAAAGTTACATACATTTCGTGGGAATATTAAATACCCCCCTGGTCGACAATGGGATAACGTTCTATTTTATTGATTGAAATCGTATTCCATGATTTTGATATTTACTTTAATATTACTAGCTAGTTGGCCCTCCCAGCACTAAACATAGAATTTTGTACAATTTATAAATCAATTTTCTACAAGATTGGCTAGTTTTCAGAAGTCTTTTTTATTCCATTGTTTACATTAAAAGGTTAAAAAAAAACGGCCAAAGCATAAAACGTAAATGTGACGTCATTGTTGCTGGTCAAAAAAGTACCTTCTATGCAATGGGCTTTTGTATACCCTATTTCCTTTAATTGATGTTAAATTTGTTGTTCCAAGCTGCTTTGAAACATTAATATTGTATTTTTCTTAGATTGAGATGTTTTTACCTATTAATGCATATGTTTTGTGTTTTATATATTCATTTAGCCCGTTTCTGATACCTATTATTGAAACTCGTGAGCTGCAAAATTTCGTTAATATCTTTAAACCAGAGACTGAGTAGTTTCTGCATTAATTGGAGCCTGAAATTACAAACAATATATCAAGTTAATTATATCCATTTTCCCAAGGTATGCAGATTGTTGCTAATTCCGTGCCAAAGTTGCAGAACAATGTTCCCTATTCATTTCCCCATGTTGCTGAAATTTTCCCATTCGCGTTCCCGTTAGGAACATGCGGCTCTTTTCACCTCGAAAAAGAGAGCAAATTTTAAAAAACCACCACGAATTGAGAGAGAAAAATGTCGGTATTTTTTGTGCGCTAAATGGAGTTTGGCGGTCATTTTGAAAATTCGACAGTGGGTTAATCGTTAAATGTTCATGATCGGAAATCATATTTCTCGATTTTGAAATTCGGTTTCATATTACCAGCCAGCTAGGACTCTCAGCACTGAACAGATAATTTTATCCAATTTATGAATCAATTTTCCACTGGATTTGTTAATGTAAAGGACTTTTTTTTTGTGGAATGTTTACAAAAGGCCAGGCCATTGCCAGACGAAAATAGGAAGCGCTTCCAGGAGTTTGGTTTGCGATCAAGATGCTTGAGGACCTGGAACAGCCGCATGAAAAATCGTGCGCTGAAATATCACGAATGGGGCGTGGTCAGGGTACCCTCCCATTTTTGGATCCTACTCATAGGAGCTAGGAAACTGAGAGTGCAGGAATACGGCTACTACCAAGGGGCATGGTTATCCCACAAAACTTCAGCACAAGGCAATCAGCCAGTCGTACCAGCCAGGAGTTCCTGGCCGGTGAGCATAGAGAGATATTCGATAACTATTACAACGATTTTATTGAGCAACAATGTAAATAACGCTATACACAATATAAATTCCACTAGTTTCGAGCTACATAAATTCTTGAGCACTGGCACTTTTTGTCCTACGACTACATAAACTAAACTTCCTGCCTGCCAGGGGTCAGATCACTATCGGTCCTCTTGTCTAAATAAAGTGCGAGGCATATTCGTGCGGCATCACGCCACGTCGCGGATAAAACGTATGTGTTGTCGAGAACTTGAGCAAGTTGGTTATGTCACTTGTATAGATGTCGGCAAAACGGAACAGCCGCCTCGAGAAGTACGTTGGGTTGTGATACGTGCGGAAAACACTCCCGAACTGCTCGTTGAACACATTCTTCGTCTTGTTGCTGCAAAGTGGCACAATGATTATGGCTGGGCATTAAAATTTTGAGCGTTTGTCATACCGCAACTGATCCCGCTCCTCCATCCAGTCGCGCAGGCAAGCCTGGGCCGGCTCACTCTCGTCGTCCTGTGTATCCTCGATGAGCTGCGTCAGCATCTGAAGCCAGTTGGCGCTCATCTTGAAGTCCTTTCGGTTAAGGGTCTGTATTTCATGCTGCAAATGATACATTTTAATAACATCATCTCAATCACTCAGGTTGTACACCCACCGCTAGCTCACTGATGATTGCCCCTGTCCGCCAGCTGTGCTTCAGAGTGACATCCGCCAGGTCACTGTACGGATGATCGCCAAAATAAAGCACCGAATGACCGCGCCAGCCCTTCAGTTCCTGCAGCTGTCGCACAGAGCCTTCGTAATATATTTTTCCCTTCTCTAAACTAAAGACACGATCCCAGAGATGGGATCTCGTCTTCTCATCAAAGAGCCTTATGGGCCGAGATTCGTCGGTGAAGAACTTTGGCTTGCGCGCCTGTACAATAACCACATCGAAGAAATCTCTCCAATTGGCGCCCACAAGAAACGTCATGCCACAGTTCCTGTAACACAGAAGAATTATGTATAATCTGTTTTTTGAAAATGAAGACATGAGTACTCACACAAAGGAAAACGGACTGTTGGTGACCAGAAAGAGATTTTTTCCCGCTTTCTGCAGTTTCTCAAAGAACATGACCAGCTTGGGATTGCGTTCGATGTACTTGGCGGTATTGACCATCACTTTGCCATGCATGATGGGATGACAGGAGCCCATGGCCGTTCTTGTGTCATGGAAAACGATCTCTGGATTGTAGTCGATGCGATTCCGCTCGAAATATTCGATTATATTGCACAGGAGGCACATTTCAGGTACCGAAAACAGATCAGCCAGCTGAACCATTTTCGAGTTGGTATTGTGCTGCAAAAAGGAAAGATATAAATACACCTGCTTACTTCCAGATCGACATTAATTCTCACATTGTAGTTGTTATTCGGTCCTTCAACATAGGCAATGGGCAGCAGGCGGTTGTGATATAGCTTGAGCACCTCGTCGGCTCCGACCTTAGTTCGCCCCCGGTAGACAGAACCCAGCTGCAGCTGCAGGAATGAGTCCAATTTGACCAACAGTCCCTTCTCCACATCATAGTGCAGCCCGCGCACAGCGAAGTTCGGCTCGTATTCCAGATCCAAAATTTCTTCGGGATACCTAAAACGCTTCACCAGCATCTCCCTGGCCAAATTGTACAGAAGATCCTCCAAAATGGGCTTGTAGCAGGCCAGTGTGTAGTCATAGTCGAATCCATAGACCTGCACCTCGCTGAGGTCAAGCTCGTTGCATGCGAACACAGCATCTGGATGCACATCCGCTGGCAGCTTTTTGGCTGAAAAGAGCAACACGTTTGGATGTGAATATGGAGCACTTTGCTGGGGGCGGGGGTGGGCTATTTATAGATTTGTGCACACGAAACTGCATATGCCTACGCTAGGACAGGTTAAGGCTTACATTGAAACTTCTTTTTTGTGGTTTCGTAGAGCTCTTGGAAATCACTCACTGTTTTTGGATTCGATTTTTGAGCTAGGGCTACAGTGGGGGTTCTTGTCGCTGCAGGAGAAGAGTCCTGAATCCTGAATCCAGAATCCGTGCTCAGCCCGCGGGACTCTGATAGCGACCTGACCGCGTATACATTACGCAGAAGTACGCTTTGTCTCAATAGGGCGCTGAAAATTTGACCAGCTGCTGTACACATTTAACTTGATTGTTTGTTAATTGAGTCCAGTTGTTATGTACACTACTGTGGGGGGGGGCCACTGGTTCTGATCAGAATGCGTGGGGGGCATAACATCTTAATACGTGTGGCGCAAACGGAGTCCAACACTACTTTTCGATTTCGATTTTCGATGATAATGAAGAAAACTATCAATGAAATAATGAAACGCAGCTATCGGTATCAATGAAAGAAGAAAAAGTGGCTCAAACGACCAGGGCTGGCGGTGTAGTAGTCCGCTAGTGTTTCAAGTGTTGCGAAGGTTTGCACATATCGGTTTGCCATGGCCAGTGTCGCCAATTGATTCAGTGCCACTATAGTGCCATTTCACTCGCTCGTGGTTTTTTGTGGAAGTAGGCAGAAAAATTTCTTATTATTTTCATTACGTGAGCCACCGACAATATTTCGGCAAGGACGAGGCCGTTTTAGTTAACCAACGAAGGCCGACTGCAAATCTAGCTCTTTTTGTCGTCAAACTGTGTAACTGTGTAAATAGATGCCCTTTGTGATGTAGAGCTGCTGACGGCCCCCTCCCTTCCACCCGGGGGCCCAGCCATAGCCATGCAATAAGAATAAATATAAAAATATAAGAGATACGAAGAATAAAGAACACAGTCGGTATACTAGATAGCCATTTACGACGCAATTTAAAAGAAAATCGGCAGCAAGAAGAAGCAACAAACACGTCAAATATCACCAATACAGTGGCATTATTGGCAAACAACAACAACAACAATCTACTCCCCCGACATCCGTTCAAGAATTGACAATTGATACGTAGAATTATGAACGTAGAGAACCAATTGAAAACACCGCCAACGCAGCTTCGTAATTTGGTCAAACACGTGAACAAGCGCAATTTTAATGAAACCAGCGAGCAAATAAACCAGGTAAGTGTATATTTCTCTCTCGCCTTTATACCATTTTTGGGTAGAAAGACAATAATTAAGAAACCCCGATTTGATTTCAAGTGTTGCGAAGGTTTGCACATATCTGTTTGGCATGGCCAGTGTTGCCAATTGATACAGTGCCACTATAGTGCCATTTCACTCGCTCGTGCATTTTTGACGACGCCATTACAGTTTTTTGTGGAAGTAGGCAGAAAAAATTTCTCTGCAGCGTTGTGCGATTTCTTCCCGGTTTGTTTAAGTTAAAAGTTATTTAAAATGTATAAATTTATAAGAACTGGTTAGCATAGACCGCGAACGTGATTACGGCCAGCGCTGCACGGAGTGGAAATTGTGAAAATCGGATCTGAAATTTTTCGAAATCGAGCTGCAAAAACGAACAACGAAAAGGGAAACTAGAGCCCAAGCCAAGGGGTTTTTACCCTCACAGCCCTTTTTTCCTTTTATTGGCCGAATAGTTGACCAAGCCGGAGGAAGTTGTAAGTTTATTAATAGTTAAGTTAAGGTGAATAATATTTGCGACCGCAGACTTTCTTTTTTGCTGAAAATACAATATGCTGGCACTCTTTTCTTTAATCCCTCTTCTCGCCCGCACCGTCATCCGTTCCGACTCTTTTTCCATGTAACGTTGAAAGTTGTGCAAATGTGAGTGTGCCCCCGAGTACTTTTGTGTGTAATTTTTGTTGTGCAGCAGCTGCGACGACACACGGTCACAGCTGTTGTCTCGCTTCTGCGCGCACCTTCAAAGCAATGCTGAACTGAAATGAAACCTTGGGTCCGTCCCCCGTACCTGTCCGACCAAAAGTAAACTGTGAAACGAAACGCAACACTTGAAGGAGCCTGGAGTTTCAAATCAAATCAAGTTTTTTTTATTAAATGGACACGACAGGCATTAGTGCCCGTCAAAATTACAAAGTATTTCATGAAAATCGAATAAAAATCGGTCATACACAATATTTCATAAGTAAAAGTTATTTAGCAAGTACTTATATGAGTCCGCAATCGCAGGGAGTTTCTGCTTCCGGGGCAGCTGTGCCTGTGCATGCCCAGGTACCAGCTGGACTGAACCCTTTCTAACACAATTTAATTACCAATACCATTCCTCTATCGTCTCTTCCACTCTCCTTGCAGTTCATCAAAGACCACGGCCTGGAAGCGGATCGTAGCAGTCTGCGCTATCTGTTCACTGCGATCAACTTCAGTGACCCATCGCCAACCGTCACCGGCCAGTTGCAAGCCAAATTACTCGGCGCCCAGTTGCAGCGGCAGTTGCAAAGCTCCTCATTTGTGTCCAACATCTGCTACGCGTTTGACCAGCACTTTGCCAGCAGCCAAAAGGTATGTACCCCCATATGTTTTCCCCATTGCTGAATGGATTCCTAATAACATCCTTTCTCCCTCTCTTCGATCAGTCTCTCAAGCCGTCAGAGATAGCAGAGCTCATTGGCCAGGTGTGCAGACTGACCGGCATAAACAAGCTCTGCGAGTGCATATTTGCCTTGGCGGTGACCCACTCGTCGCATCCAGAGCTTCGAGAATCGGCCAGAGAGGTTTTGCGTGGCTCCATAGCCGAGCTGCTGGACTCCTATTTGGGTAACAACAACAGCTCCTCGGCCACCAGTGGGACTGCAAGATATATCCATCGATCTGCTGCAGTATTTGCTGTGCTGTCTCAACCAATACGTTGCACCGAAGCTGCACGGGCAATTTTTAATCAAATTACGTGAGGAGTTTCCGCGGCAAGCGGTGCCTTTGATTTTGGCGCCGTTCCTTTACGGCTCAACGACGGCGGCGACCTCGAATCCAGTTGGGGCCAGCGCCAGCGAAACTGATGCAGACGCTGAGGCAACGACAACGACAGAGACGGCCAGCAGCATCAGTTCCGACACGGATGCTTTGAATGAGGTTGGAATTGAAGATATCTATGACCATTTAAGCGAAATAATATTCACAAACCAGGTGGGTACAGGGAAAAATCATGTATGTAATATCTATCCTATACTAAAATATTTCTACGATTTTTCCAGGGTAAAAATAATATTATGGACACATCTTGGATTAATCTAATCCTTGAAATCGGTTACGAATTTACATCGAGCGTTGAAGAGTGTAAAAATCATTTGTGCTCTCGCGAACGAGAGCGCACCGAGCTCCAGCCAAAAGATGTTGCCAAAATCGTTGGTCTCATGTGCCGGCGGCACTCATCTCTGCTCGATTGTAATGTAAATCTACCGACACCAGCTAATTTCTGGCCAGGACAGGGACAAGGCGGCGGCAGCAATAGTAGCGGCTCAACCCAAGCCCAAGCCACCACACCACAGCAGGGACAGAACTCAAGCAGCAACAGTAATAACAACGATGGAGCCAGCGATGGAGGCAGCTCGTCCAGTGATAAGAAGGACAAGAAGGAGACGACAGATGCCACACAGACATGGAAGCCGGATGTCTTTGTGCAGGCACTCAAGGAACTGGTGCCACAGCTCAACTGGAAGGACGTGTGCATGGGTAAGGGACTAAGGGACTAGCAAACGTCGTACGAGCAATCATTCAATGACATTTTCAAACATTTTAGAACTCGATCATCCCGAATTCGTGCTGAAGGATCGCATCGGCTTGGATCTTCTGCTGACAATTCTGCGACTGGCTACACAGTCGAACATCTTTCCACATCCAGAATGCATTTACCGCCACTGGGCCAATACGGAGGGGCAGCTGTCGTTGATCTCGACGCTGCTAAAGAATCCGGATCTGTTCTCCTTTGCCGACTTTGTGTTCAGTCAGCCAACGCTGGATGTCCTGAAGACGGCACCGGATGCGGACAACAAAGAGATTACGGCCTGGAAGTCGCTGCACCTTGTCGAGGTGCTGCTCTCTATTGCGGACAAGGGCTACTACACGCAGGTCCATGACCTGTTCAAGTTCCCTGCCCAGAATTGCCCGGACGTCCTGTTTTTGGCCCTGCTGCACATAAATCCACCATTGACGCCGCTGCGGCAGGACTTGTTCAATTTGTTGATTCCAACGTTCCTCAACAATCATCCCAACTCGAATGTGATCCTAGCCAGCGCCTGGAGCTCAACCAACTTCCCGCTGCGGCCGAACATTATGAATGCCATGTCCGAGTGGTATCTGCGCAGCAGCGACTTTGATCAGGTGAAGCTGTCGCGCATTCTCGATCTCGCCCAGGACCTGAAGGCTCTTTCGTCGCTACTCAATGCCCGCTCCTTTCTGTTCATCATCGATCTGGCTTGCCTGGCCTCCAGGCGGGAGTACTTGAAGCTGGAGAAGTGGCTCACCGATAAAATCCGCGACCATGGTGAGCCCTTTCATGCAGGCCATGATCAAGGTGCTGCTCCGGCGTTGCCCACAGGTGGCCAATGCCAAAGTGCCCGAGGAACAGCTGCCACCGAAACAGGCTCAGCTGCTGCCCGAGACGGTGACAACGATGATCAATTGCCTCCAGACGTGCATCAATAGTTGCATGCAACCCGAGATGGTCGAGATGATCATGCAGATGACCGCCAATGTGGCCATTATGGCGAATAAGGCACGTGCGCAACAGCAGCAGCAGCAGCAACAACAACAACAGCAGCCCGGTCTGGTGCCACCACCGCCGCCGAGTATTCTGCGTCATCGCGGCATGGATCTTCCCGGTGGCATTGTGCCACCATCACCGCAGCAGCAGCAGCAACAACAACAGCAGCAACAGCAGCAGCCCTTCTCCGGAAACCTCAATGCCCAGCAAATGTTCGGGCCCGGCATGGATCCGCTCACCAATATGTCCAACAACCTGGCCGGCCTCAATCTGAGTGGACCGAATGGAGCCTTCAACTTTGGAAATATGTTAAGTAAGTGGAAGCAATGTTTTACCTCCCTTCCCACCCCCCCCACCTTGTTCTCTGTGCTCTCTCTTTGTGTATGTGTGTGTGTGTAATTTGATTTAAATTATCTGTAGATAACATGGTTTCTACTACTCCAGCATCTCCATCGCGCCTAATGGGTCCCGGCGGCAGTCCTTATCCGCTGAATCCCATGCAGATGCCACAGCCTCTGCCGCCGCCACCAAATGTTGGGAATCTGGGTCGGATGCTACCCGGGGGACCACAACAGCCGCCGACACCATCATCGGCACCGCCAACGGCACCCAATCCAAACAATCCGGTGATGGCCGACCTGCAGATACCCGTGTCCA